TATATATATATATATATATATATATATATATATATATATATATATATTTGAGGCCTGCCTTGGGTATAGACTGTTTCAGCATTCTCCCTCTCAACCCCCATTTCAGAAAATTTGAGATTTTAGACAGATTTCAGGTCTTCCTTGGTAACTAATTATTTTGTTAATTACCCTTAGTCATATCAGTAATTGTATTTACTCTGAATTTTCTTAAATCAAATATTACATTTTTACACATGCACTCATTTTTTTATCTTGTGTATGTGCACACGTGTCACAGCATGTGTGTGGCGAGGACAGCCTGTGGGAGTCAGTTCTTTCTTTCTGAATGTGGGTCCCAGGATCTAACCCAGGCCTGCAGCCTTAGTAGCAACAACATTTATCACTGAGCTATCTCGCCAGTCCCTTGAAAATGTGTTTAATTGGGAAAGATTCAACTCAAACACAAGACTATATAGAAGATCTATAGTTACAACCAGTCTTGTGAATAAGTATTTGAGAAGGTTCTCTTATCCTCCAGTTCAACCTGAGCTAGCTACTTTACTGCTTCAAAAAGTTAGGAGTCAATCAACAAGTTACTTAATTGTGAAACTGACAAGCATACATATGTATACAGAAAGGATGTTACTGCTAACATTAGGTCAGACTGCACTGGAGAGTGGGCTGAACAGTGCTTGGACCATGTCTGCTCTCACATTTCCGGCAAGTTTACCAGAGCTCCTGGGGGAAGATGGTAAGCAGAGTTTTGGGTGGATCTTGGGAACCAATGTTTATTGTTGCTGGACATCTGGTAATACTGTGGTGAGATGTAGGTGCTAAATGCTGATCTCAGTGATGATTAGGGGGACCAGGTTGCCTCTTGCTTTATTTCCAACCACTGTCCTACTTTCAGTTCTTAGGAAGAAAGACAGGTGACCCCTTGAGTGAAATACTGTTTCTATCTGATTCAGGATGAGAATGGAAAGGCAGGAGAGAACATTAATTAACATTCTGGCTCTGGCTAAAAGATGTCAGTGGCCATGATGCAGAAAAGGATAATAAGAATAAAAATAACCAATAGTTGTACTACTACTGGAAGCAAGGCAGTGGTGATGGCAAGAAGACTCTGATGAAGCACATCTATGTTCTTCAGATGTTCAGCTCTGTTTTTCAGAGCATATGATAAGCAAAAATACTATTTTTCCTGTAGGAAGACTCAGTGTCCTAAGTGAATTCTTCCTAAGTAAGTTAACAGAAGTAACACTAAGTGTTACTTCCTAAGTAAGTAACAGAAGAGCTTTCTGTTCTGTGTTCTCTAACCACTCAGAGCTGACCGCCTTAGTTGCTTGTTTTCTCGGGGGAGCTGAGCCCATCTGATGGACTGTGCTCATTGTGCTTTCTCTCTCCAGAATGTAAGCTTACGGGGAGGCATGTAAACATGTATGCCTGTGCTTCTTTGACAAGGCTCTGCTTTGCTACCTAGAGTCGCCGAAACTTGGACTGTGCTTAGCACACAGGAAGCCGTCAGTGACTGGGGAATGAATACATAAAACCCTTCCATTCATAATCGACAATACGTATTGTCTGTGCTGTAGGTTTTGGTTGTTAATTTTGTTTAATGTAACATCTTGTAATGCTTTCTATTCTTTCTTTTCTTTTCTGGTTCAGTGTCTTAATTGTTTTGTCTTATAAGACAGTCTTCTCTGTGCTTCTTGATAACAGGAGTGAAACAAATGCCATCTTTGTACACTTCACAAGGCACAGCAAACTTGTGGAGAAACTATTTGAATTGAATATCTTTATTTATTCATCAGAACTTAAACTGCTGAAATCCAGTTTGCCTTTAACAAAGGAAGACTTTTACTATATAGAACTGTGTGATTCTCTATGCCTAGTTTTTCTCTTTTAAAAGATGGAGACCTTGGGCATACTTTGTTAAACCGTGGCTGGCTTTGGAGATGGAGGTTGGGGTTTTCTGAAGTATATTTTCCTAAGTTTTTCTGTAGTATTTGGAGAAAATAAAATTACCATAATTTTCAGTAAGATAGGTTATATACATTGAAATTTTAATTAAAAAGTGTTTCTTTAGGTTATAATTTTTAAGATTTAATTTTAAAGTATTAGTAATAACTTTGTAAACTAGTCATCCTAAAACTTTTCAGTGAGCTTTTGCAAGTATAAATATTCAAACATTTTATAAATATGTTATTTCTCATGCAGATTTTTTTCAGTAGTTTGTATTAGTATCTCTTATTGCAACTTTGTATTTCTACTTTTTCCCCTCAATATTGTTGGTGATCTCTCCAAATTTCTTTGTTTCAAATAAATGTCCAAGTATATATTACATTTACAAAAGTTAATATTTTAATGCTTACTAAAATGATACCATAAAGATATAAAAGGAGAAATTTAAAATCATTAGTGTTTACAAAGAAAAATTCAAAACTTCTGAAAAGTTTTTCTGATTTATCCAAAGAATTATATCTTTTGTTTTTATTTACTTCCCACTCTTTTGTTCCTTTGCTTTATTTCAGGCCAGTCTATCCATATGGGGATGGGGAAGCCTTGGCGTTGTCCTTTTTCTAATAACCTTTGGACCCTTTGTAATATTTTATTTGGCATTTTATATCCTCTGCTTTGTGGGAGGGTAAGTATGTACAATGATAATTTTATAATTTATGTGTTATATTTTGTTAAAATTGAAACAAAATGATTGAGAACTGGGAATATGATTTAATTGTGAATGTTATTTTCTCAATTTTTTTTTTTTACCAAAGTTTTAAAAAATACAAGTAAAATTAAGATGTCCATTTGTATGCGGTGGTTATCTTTAAAAATGAAGTTTTAATTACTAAACATGAATATATCTTTTATTATATGAAAAATTTTAATGTTATTCTTGGTTTAAGATTGGGATTTTATTACCTGTTGTGATATTACAATCTTCTGAGATAACACATCTAGTTTTACATTATAGGAGATACTATTCCATTGATTAGATGTCAAATAATAATTGTGCCCTCAGAGGAATGTTGTTACTTTGGTCCAGACAGTTCAGATAAATACTTGCTTTTATAGTTTTCTCATTATGGTTATTTGGTTTGCAGTATTTATGATTTCCCTTAAATTATAAACATTTACAAAGAAGGCTCCAGCCGAACTTTATTATGGGTTTGTGCACAGACAGCTGGTATTAGATGTAGATGCAGTGTCTTGAGCTGAAATATTTAGATCTGTTTTAGCCGCAGGAGTCAGGTGACACAGAGTTCAGAATATCTTTAATGGAAACTTTGGTACAAAGTGTCCGAAACCAAATGTGCAGGTCCAAGGCCCGAAGAGATAACTATGCAGAGCTGCGTGGTTGTACTTACCCCACAGGGTCAAGGCTGCTTCCACTGACAGGAAGGATTATGTTTTATAAAGAGATGTTTCTCTAAATTTTAGAGTCTAAAATATAGAGATTCTACTAATTTAATAATTAGAATAAGCCCTTTGTCAAGAATGAACAAAAAGTATTTCAAAATATTTCCCACCACTTTGGAAAGTGAAGAAATTGGAGCCTTAGAGAAAAAGGTGAGCACTCTAAGGTGAGAGGCAGTCTCTTCTGTGTCTCTGTCTGTGTGTCTGTCTGTCCCTCTCCCTTCCTCCTCTCATCCCTACCACACCCACTCCCCCTGTTGTTTTTGTGAGATAGGTTTCTCTGTGTAGCCCTGGCTGACCTGGAACTCTATCTATAGACCAGGCTGGCCTTGAACTCAGAGATCCACGTGTCTCTGCCTCTGGAGTGCTGGGGTTTAAGATGTGCACCACCACCGCCCAGGTCAGAAGGATTTCTTAACAGTGAATTACAAACAGAATTTGGCAGGGGCATCGTCTGCACACTGCAGAGTTACTAGAAGTTTTGTTGACCCCTCTCTGACTTTGCTAATTTATCAAGGAATAATTTCCAAAAATGGTTTGGATACTTAGAATTCTGTGAAAGTTTTAGGTACAGATAGGTTGTTGGAAGGTGTGGTGATGATGTTTGCAGTCATGGGCTGGCATCTGAGCTTGCAGGCTAATGCTGTGCCTTGAGTTAGTGTGATTCTGTACTGGCTCGCTGATCCCATTGGGGCTCCCTGTCATAATAAGGGTCTTTTGTTTCCTCTGTAACCCAGTTGAAGAGGATTAGCTAATCAGACATTCTCAGAATGCTCAGTTTATGGTCAACAAGTTCATAATTTTCAGAATCAAATCTTCCCTTTTTGTGACCTTGATTGTGAAGACTGATTGTCCCTTCAATGAAACTTTGTGTCACTCAATGCATTGCAAATTTAAGCAACAAAACAGATGACATTTTATAAATTGAAAGTAATTTGCTAGTTTAGCTCTGCTTTTTCTTAAGTTTTTAAAGATGTGTTTTTTGCTGTTTACATAAAGTACACATATGAAAGGAATATATTTTTCTATGAACAACCCATTTTCTTTGATAAAAGAACTTACCAAGTTTTGAAGTGTTATGTAGTTTATCCATTTAAAATGACGATGATATAGACTTTTCTTACAGTTAAAGCTAATTCCTTTTTGCAAATATTAAAAAAAACCTACTTTGGCAGTGGGAAAAGCACAGTGTTTTACTTTGTTTTTTATATCATGGGATATTGTCAGTGCTACATTATTATTTCAGGACATTTTGTTGTATTTATTGCATGGGTTATTTATTTATGAATGTACCTATCTATTTATTTTGGTTTTTCAAGTAGGGTGTCTCTATGTAGCCCTGGGTATTCTGAAAATCACTTGTAGACCAAGCTGACCTCAGACCTGCCTTGCGAGTGCTGGGATTAAAGGCTTGAACCACCATGCCCATCTAGGTGGGCTATTTAATAATTTGTAGCCCTTAGATTTTGGTTGTGAGTCCAGCCCTTAATGGTTCAGCCATTCACCAATCAATTGTAGCTTCTAGTTTTACTTAAACATCAGCTAAAATTATTAACTAGTTGTTTGTAATTACAAGTGTTCTTTGAACTTGCTGTTTTAATTATTGCATCATAGGCTAAGATTAGTGTTTTATCAGTCATCATCTTAAGAGTAACAGTTTAACTTAAATAATTACTTTGTTGTACTTCTAAGTGCTCTTAATTAAACTGAAACACAGGGTCAAACTACAAGGCCATATCTGTTACAGGTGATATGTATTGCCAATTCTGAACACACACTCAAGAGACACACAACCCCCATCCCCAACACACAGAGGCTTACTCTGGCTGGCCTCAAACTCACAGAAATCTGCTTGCCTCTCCCTTCTGAATGCTAGGATTAAAAGTGTGCATCATTACGCTTGGGACTGAAGGTTTTTTAAATAAAAGTTGTTTGAGTAAAACTTTGAAAAACACTTCATAATTCATTAAATATTTCTAAGTGTTATAAATTTCAGAGCCTAACAAAATTCTGTCAATCTTGATTTTCCAAATATCTAGACTTAATTTTTAAGAAATGGTAAGCCATAAAGTCTGAGAAGTATATTCAGTAACAAATACGATAAAGTATAAAATACTTTATTTTTTAATCTATAATTACTTTTATTTCCCACAGGGGTTTAGTGGTTACTCTCCTTTATGGGAAAACAAACTCAGAAAAATACCTAGAACAGTGTGAACACTCATTTCTTCCTCCAACATCATCTGGGGTTCCTAAGGTATGTCGTGTAGAGGAATGTGAAACCCCACAGAGCAGTGCAGCCATCAGTGTGTTCATCTGCATGGCCCAGCAAGGTTGTCATTCACAAGTGTGTGTACATACTGATGGGCACTGCTTGATTTTACTGAGAACTAACTGAGATCCTAAATGGCATCTTGAAAACTTTTTGTTGTATGTAAACAAATAGGAATACAAATGTGAGGAAAAGATAGACATTGGTTAGTTTAATTTATTTTCCTGTCTTAATATCAAATTCATTTATATAATTTGTAAAAATGCTAATGAGTATTTGGTTTGAGTGAAGTAAATTAAATAAAATTAGAGAAAAATATGTACACTTTTTGTTTAATTATTTTGAAAAGCATACTTGGCAGTAAGCTACACATGTTTGTGGTTTTAAAAACTCAGGTCTTATTTTGTCATTGTGAATAATTGTGTTTTTCTATTACAGTACTGAGTGTTATAAATGAAGTAGATACTGGATTCTGTGGATACATAGGCCTCACAGTTGCTATAGTATCAGGCTTTGGGTCACTCTACTTTTAGGCAAGTGGTTGGAACTGATGCCAGTAACTTAACCTTACAGTCATATAAACACTAAAATACAGATGAGGAAGTAAGTAATGTACAGTAGTAGTTTCTATTATAGAAATGAAAATACCCTACACCATTCCATTTTATGTTCATCAGCTGCTGTTTCATTTATACATTTATAACTTTTTTTCTTCATTGTGTTTATTGTAAGTATTAGTACTTATACGGATTAATGGGTTCACTGTGAAATTTCTGTATAAGCATGCTTTGATCACATTCACTCTTTGGCCACTTTTCTTCTTTTCTGCCTCTCCCCCACTTCCATCCAACTCCTCATAGTCCCTCTACACTCTCAGGAGTGTTTTGCTTTTCACTTAGGCGATAAACCAGGAAACCTCATTTACTTCTCTTTGTGTGTTTGGCTTATTTTGCTTAATACATTATCTTCAAAATCTGCCCATTTTCCTGCAAATGGCCTGATTTCATTCTTTATGGCACAATAGCTGCACATAATTTACTCTTCTGTGAGCTGACCCTGTCTTAGATGCTGTAAGGGTGCTGCAGTAAGCATGGGTGTGCACTGATTTCTGAATGTTGACTTAACTTTTTAAAGATGATCTACTTTGGAGTGGTATAATACAACTTTCGTCATTATGTGAACTTCTTGTTTTTCTGTTTCTTTAGAACTATTGTTCATACATTTTCTTTGAATTTTGTTTACAAGACTTTCTAAGGAATTAGGCCTTTCTTTCTTGGCCATTTATAGTTTTCATTCATTTGGGAGGTGCATGAAAATAATAGAAAACATTTTAAGAATTAAGATTTTATATAGTGATAAAGTCAAGACTAGCCATGTTTTTATAATCAATTGTTATGAATGATATAAACCTACTTTTGGCTTGTTATTTTAAAATGTGATTTGTAAACAATAGTCTATGAAAAAATCTTAGTGGTTCATATTATACTTAAACATTAATTTTATATAAGTTGTGATCAGTTTGCACCGTAAGCAGTATATTATTAAGGGATTTTTATCAGTGTGAGTATCATAAAATTTGCAGAAACAAACCTAGATGGTACAGCCTATTACCTACCTAGGGTATGTGATCCTATTTCTTGTTCTAGGCAACAAACTTGTAAGTATATTTCTGTACTGAATACTCTGGCCCCTCCAGTGAAATGGTATTTGCATTATCTAAACCGTGAAAAGAAGCACTGGAAATGGTCAAACCTTTAGTGGTGGCACACTCTTTTAATTGTCTTTACTCTCAGCATTTGGGAGGCAGAAACAGGTATGGTGGAAGCTGGGTGGTCTACATGGTTGGTGTACATGGTGAGTTGTAGGCTAGCCTGGACTATGTTAGGAGATACTGCCTCAAACGAAGAAATAAAAAGCAAGCAAGGAAAGAAAGAAAGAAGAGGAAGCAAAGGAATGGAAAGGAAAGGAAAGGGAAAGGGGAAAAAAGGGAAGAAAGGGAAAGGGAAAGGCAGAAGGAAAAAGGAAAGGAAAAAGGGAAAAGAAAAGGAAAGGAAAAGAAAAAGGAAAGGCAAAAGGAAAAGGTGAAACAAAAAGAAAGAGAAAAGGAAAGGAAAGGAGAGGAAAAAGGAAAAAAGGAAAGTAAAGAAAAGGAAAGAAGGAAAGCAAAATGGAAAGGAGAAAGGAAAGGAAAAGGAAAAGAAGAAAAAAGAGGAATAAAGTCATTTAAGTCTTGGGGTTTTTGCTTCAAGATTTTTAAGGGAGCTTGTTAAAGTCTGTAAAAACTTCTGCTAAACCATTGGCTGTAAATTGTGTTTTCTTTTTTCTTCTCTCTCCTGTCATCTGTAGTTTCCTTTTCTTTTGCTTCTTCACTAAGTGTTAAGAGTTTCTCTGCTGTTTGGCCCATACTTATTGAAGTGTTATTTGGTATTTGGCTATATAGTGATGTTTAGATACATGTAAAGAGTCTTCCATTTTTTTAACCCCTTTTCCCAGACTAATGATCACTGTGATGACTACTGAAAAGTAGTGAACTGTTTTCTTTGATTTTTAAAATTGTCTTTAATAAAAATCAAATTTAAAGTAAATTTGTTTGAATATATGCTCCTGGAAGATAGAAAAGGAGGGAAAACTGAGAGTTTTCGTAAAGATAGTAAATTGACAGATTAGAAGTGTTACCTTCATTGTTTGAAGGTTTGGTTGCATAATGGCAGTTACTACACTTTTCTGTTTTAAATCACCATTGATAATCTAACATAAAAAATAAAAGATTTTGTCCTGGATATCTAATTTTAGTACCCTGAGAAATCAAGTTTGGCTTATATTTATTTTAATAAATTATTTATTGGCTGGAAAATAAGGGAAAGTATAACAACAAGTGAATTTGAAGCAAACTGGAAAGATCTGAAATCAAAGAAATATTCAGTAACATATCATGATTTTTCCTTAAGTGCTTAGAAGAAATGAAACGAGAAGCCAGGACTATTAAGATTGACAGAAGATTGACAGGTGCCAATATAATTGATGAGCCTCTCCAGCAAGTGAGTTTCAGTATGTGGTATTTCAGTTCCATCTATTGTGTTTGATGTAATTTCTTTTGTAAATAATAAGATATACCTCTTAGCTATTTAAACAATGGCCTGAAATTTTATAATAATGCTGTTGTTGAATTTTGTGCTTAATAATTCTACGTAGTAGGTGCCTATATGAGGTGGTTTATTTAACTTGATAATATGGATTAATTCTGTATTAGAAAAAAAGTTTTGCTGACATCTGATATTCTAGTAATTTTGTAATTTAAAATATTAATGTTTCAGTATTGTTGAACAAGCTCAGTGGTTTGGTAAATTAGATGTTTTACTTATTTTTATTCCTTCAAGGTTGACTATCTCTGATTTGATTAAAAATATTAATTAGATTTAGATAAAGATTTCCTGCTCATGAATATTTTCTGACGTTTTAATTATATGATCATTATTAATAATGTATACTTTCAGCTTCTACTGTTTTATAAACGAACCTGTAGTTAACTTGCTAGAAATCAGCATCCGGATGTTGAATGATATGAACTAACATTACTGGCTGCATCAAATGTATTGCTAGAGTCAAGTTAGTGTCTGTAATTACACTGCAGTGAGTCTGATGAGGACATCTTCAAAACATTCATTTTCGTTACTATCGATCAGCAGTATTTAATCCCATCCTGTTGAACTTAGTTGGATTCTTCAGCATGTTACAGCAGTGAAATTGTTTTTTCTTTCCAAACTCTATCTGAATGTAGCTAGTTGTAGGTGATGTGTAGTTTTCTTAAAAATTGGAAGTGGATGAGTTGGGGTTTCAGAACATTTTCTGAAATGCTTTTTTAACATGAGGATTTTATAGTGAAGAGAGGAATTTACTATCACAACTTAAGATATAGAGAAGAATATAAGTTGACAAGTAATATGCCTTAGTGGTGTTTTTTTTTTTTTTCTTTTCTGCTGTTAGTTTTAAATCGTAAAATTTTTTTTTTTAATATTTTGCTATAGGTTATCCAGTTTTCCTTGAGGGATTATGTCCAGTACTGGTATTATACATTAAGCGATGATGAATCATTTCTTCTTGAAATTAGGCAGACTCTTCAAAATGCACTCATTCAGTTTGCTACTAGGTAAGATTGTTGTTTATGGTTATACAGAAAAAGTTCAGATACGTCACCTATTACAATAGGGAAAATAACTTAGCAAATGAAAGGGAATTTTTAACTAAAAGGTAAGTAGAATATAGACTATTACAGTGGGATAATACCATTACATATTATTTACATGAATAGTTATTTCTCTTGGGCATATACCTAAAAGTATATTTAATACTTCACTTGTATTTAATATTTTGAGGAAATGTAAATTTCCTTGAAGTGTTTGCATTGTGTTACATTTTCATTAGCAGTGTGTGAAACTGTATTTTCTCTATCTTTGTCAACAGTTGTTACTGTCCATTGATTATAGCTAACTAGTAGGAGTGATATAGCACTTCACTTTGGCTTTGCCTTGCATTCCTTTGAAAGCTAGCATTGAGCACTCTCTTGTATGCTTACTAGCCATTGCATATCACCACTAAAGAAATGTTTAGGCATATCCTTGCTGTCTTTCAAGGAGGCTAAAAGTGCATCAAGTACCTTAAAACTGGGGTTACAGACCATTGTGAGCTGCTGTGTAGGTGCTGGGAATTGAACTCTGGTCCTCTAGAAGAACAATCAGTGCTCTGACTGCTGAGCTGTCTCTCCAACTCTGCCATTAAGACTTTTAAGAAACATTAAGTATATAGGTAATGTATCTAATAGTATATACTGCATACTTTCACCTAAATTTGTACACCTCTCTCTCCCTATTGTTTATATATATATGTATGTATATATATATATACACACACATATATAAATGTATATATATATACACACATGTATATATGTGTATATATATAAACAATGACATTATAAGTATAGCAAATACTAACAGTGATCTTTGCATTTTCAGTTTATGGTTGAATATAGTTAATTCAAAAAATTTAAAGAAGAAAATTGCATTTTAAAAATTGGATATTTTGCTCTATAGCCATAGATAGGAAATAAAACATATGATGATCAGTAATGAAGGTATCTAAGATGACTTTTTTTCTTCTCCTACTCTCTTTTAAAATTACAAACAAGACTATGGCTGGCTGAATCTTGGCAGGTCCTCTGTGTACCTGATAGAATAGTGAATATTCAATCTGTACACCTAAAGAAACTAATCAAGAGGGAGGACTCTTGCTAAAATTCTCAATTCCTATCCAGAAAGGCAAAGAGGCTGGACATCAGGAGAAGGAGAAAAGAGGGAACAAGTCAGGAGCCTGACACAGAGGACCTCTGAAAATCTCTGCCCTGCAGACTATCGATGTAGATGCTGAGACTTATGGGCAACCTTTGGCCCGAGTGCAGGGAATCTTAGGAAAGAAGTGGGAAACAGTAAGATCTGGAGATGACAGGAACTCCACAAGGAGAGCAACAGAACCAAAAAATCTGAGCACAGGGGTCTTTCCTGAGACTGCTATTCCAACCAAGGACTATGCATGGAGATAACCTAAGACCCCTGCACAGATGTAGCCCATAGCAGTTCAGTACCCAAGTGGGTTCCATTGTAATAGGAACAGGGACTGTCTCTGACATGAACTGATTGGCCTGCTCTTTAATTAGCTCTCCCTGAGGGGGAAGCAGCATTACCAGGCCACAGAAGAAGAGACTGCAGCCACTCTTGATGAGACCTAATTGACTAGGATCAGAAGGAAGGAAAAGAAGTCCTCCCTTATCAGTGGACTTGGGGAGGGGCATGCATGCAGAGGGTGGAGGAAGGGAGGGATTGGGACGGGAGGAGGAAGGGAACCACGGGGTGGGGGGGGATACAAAGTGAATAAAGTGTAATTAATAAAGAAAAAAAAATTGGTAAAAAAAAAAAAAAAAAAGCTTTCCACACTTGCTCTTCATACCAATCATGAAATGGGTCCTGGTGCTTTGTATGTGCTCACCTAAGGACCGTGCTCATTACATGTGGAGATCCAAGGCCTTTGGGAAACCAGAACCTTGTGGTCCACATAGTTTGCAACCCAGTGTAGAATTGAGTCCTGTATGTGATGTTACCGTGCATTAAATAGACATTTTGGTGAGCAGGGCTATTGTTTGGTTGGTAAATGTACATAGCTGTAAGTGTCCTTAGAGAGGACAGGTTCTGGAATGTTTCAGAGCTAATGATTTTATGAGTTTTTAATAAAGGGTATCTGTGCCAGGCTAATACTTTTCTAGAAGTAATTAGTTTTGGTGTTGTTTTGTGTTACTAGTAATGAGTTACATATTTGTTAGAGTTGATAGAACAAGCAAAGTGATTGATCCTTGCAATCTCAGCCCATAGATTAGTGACATTCTTTGCCCGTTAAAGGCATGTAGCTTGGGAGCAAAAAGAGCTTCTCAGTATAAGGGCTGTTTCAAGTGCTTATGTATTCCATATGGCCATTCTTTGGGCACCTGTTAACAGTGTTGAGGACCAATGCTGAGTGTATTACTTAGGCACTGCGGGTACAACTGTAAATAAAGCAGACAGACATTAAAAGAAAGTCTGCTTTCCTAAGAGTTGTTTTTCTTTTAGCAATGAAAACATTCCACTATAGGTTGTACAATAAGAATGATGGTGTGTGATTTCAATCCCAGCACTTGGGAGGCAGAGGCAGGTGGATCTATATAAGTTTGAGGCCAGCCCGGTCTATAGAGTGAGTCCCAGCACAGCCAAGGCTGCACAGTGAAACCCTGTCTTGAAAAACAAAATGATAGAAAGGGGGGAGAGCGGGGGGGGAGGAAGAGAAAAATGTCCAGTGTAGTGTTAGCAGAACATGGACTGGAGAACATGGTCTAATCTGAGAGCAGTGGAGTGGGTAAGGGTAGTGAAGTATACCATATGGGATTGCCATTTGACATAGCTCTGTGGTGGAGTTGAAACTGGGAGAGCAAATGGAAACATGGAGGGACTTGTTTATACAGTGGCACCTAGACTATTTGAAGAGTCAGTCTATTTAAGCATGAGAATCGCAGTGAAAGCCTTCCAGTGTGCAGAACTGACAGGAAGGAAACTGAAATCAGCAAGAAGAAATAAGCAAGGGTTTAAGTGTGCAAGACTGGAGAGAATATATTCATGTGTGACCTTAGGAATAAGGGGCGTGTGTTGGAAAGCTTTCATTTTGAATTATTATTTGTATGTCTGTATTTAAGAAGTCAACATTGACATGTGTGGGAAACAGAGTGGAGAGTTGCTATGAGAGCGTAGGTGTGGAGACCTGGAGACAGGATAGTTTTGCGGGTAAGACCACTGTACTAGAAATGAGGACACACAGAGTTACGCTTGAAGAAAGTAGCACATTTTGGCTTTGGTCTTGTGTTGAAGTAAAAGTCCCGTCACCTTGTTTCAAAGCTAGATGCATTTCTTATTGTTGCAGCCATTTTGTCAAAGCACCTGAGCTGCTGGGGCCTTATGTACTTGTTTCTTTAGGTTAGGGGACATTATTCTTATTTTTGGATGATGGAAGGTATGCTCTTTTAAGTTTAAGGAGTGTTACCTTATAAGCAATGACAACATGACAGTATTAGTTGTCAGACTCCGTGTAGTAACCCACATGGTTTTCCTGCAGTAGGGCAGCAGGCAGGGAGTGCTGTAGACTAACTGAGTGAAAGGAGCTGGCATTGTCTGTAGCCTGACAGTGATTGGTATTAAGAGTTCTCATAGGAAGCTGTGTAGCTGGCTGGTTTTTACTCATATTCATATCTCATTTTATAAAGTACTTCATTGTTAAACTGTTTTCTGCTTTTTTGAGACAGATATTAAACATTTTTAGTGTATTCTGTTTGTAAATGGAAAGCAATAATATGGTTGTTCTTCTTAATCTAGGAAAGTCTTTGGAGTCCAGATTCTGTTAGATTTGCATATAATTTTAAGAACGTAAAAATAGAGATAGTGTACTGTTTTTTTCGCCCTCATCATTTTTCTATTTTGTGAAATAGAAATATAGATTAAAATGTTGGATTGTATGTGTTAAATACTTGTATTCTTTGATAGTTTTATTAATTTTTAATGTCAGATGTTCTAATGAATTGATATGGGTTGGAAATGCCTTCTGATTTTGGCAAATTTTATGTCATTTGAAAAATTTAGCAATAAATGACCTTGTTCTATAAAGGAAAACAGATATGAAAGATTATACATTATTTTTTTCTTCCAAACTTGTTAGAAGTAACCTTTTATGAAGTAATTTAGCTAATGCCTGTGGTAAGTACACTGTATTTTGTAAAACTGAAAGTGCTTACATGGGCTGGGTTTTAAGAGGTTTTTAAGGCCAGGCTATCACTGTGTAGCCCAGGCTGGTCTGCAGCTCAGTGTGCAGTCCCAGTCTGGCCTCTGACTTCAGATTTCTCAGCTTCCACTTGCTTTGGGCACATGTGTGTCAGCATGACTGACTACTGAGTTTGATTTATTTTATTAAGTAAGGGCATAGGGGGAGGACTCTGGTGACTGTGGGTTTACATTTTTATTTTAGAGTTTATGTGGAGTCAAAATATTGCTGCCAGGTTTGTTTGTGTGCTTAACCATGTGCTTATATTTGAGATTGGTGATTCTTTCTCAGCTCCTAAAGTGTGGGACACTGTTAAGTTTTGTTTCTTCTGCCTTTTCATATATGTCAAACTGTAGCTGTGCCTTTACAATTAACAGATGAGTTTTTTTTGTGAAATAATCCGTACTGTTTCAGTGTCGTCATTAGTCTTCTGTGTTTCCTCTTAGAAGCCCTGCTCAGGTGTGGGTTGTATGCAGATTCACTTGTGTGCTGTCCACTGATAACGTGGTCAGAGTCCTTGGCTGTGGCTTGGTGTCCACAGTAAAGAGAGTGAGCATCTTGTCTGCCTGACTCACCTGTCCTATTCTTCCGTCAGTGTCTTGTTTGTTTGTTAAGACTGGTTCATTTGCTAGAGTGCAAAGCCTCTAATTGAAAAGTCTGCGGCGCGAGCCATCAAGTAAACATCCTCATTGTCGTCAGTGGTCTTAATGAATTCGTGTTGTGTCCTGCTCTTACTGCGCTGCTTCTCTCACTGACAAGCATCTTCATGAGCATATTTTACTTCTGTTGGTCCTAAGTACGATCCTGAAGTTTTTTGCAGAGTTGTGAACTGTTTCTATTTGTTTTGACTGGTTACTGAAATGCTTCTTGAGGCTTGTTGCTATTGAGATCTAGTACTAGGTAATTTCATAGGACCAATATTCAACATTTTGTATTCTAAAGGGTTTTATACATGTTATGCTTACCATCATCTTTTAGACAAGCACTTCTGTATGTCTCATTGTTGAGCGGTTGTAGTTTCCAGTGCTAGTGTATACAAAAAGAAATAAATTACCATGGACATTTGGTTTCAGAAGATAGGTTGTGTAACTAAAAAAAGAGTGGAAAATTTAAAATGGATTCAGAAGAAATCAAGAAGTGCCTGAAACACTCTTAAGAAATAGAAACATTCTGAATCCCTCCAATGTTTTTATATCTGGGCTAAGAAATTATATGATGTACCTATGGGCAGGCTTATTTCAGATTTAACTTATCTTAGATTTTACTATATTTACCAATTTTTAGAATTTAAATTGGATTTTTATGCCTTTGGACATTAATTGAAATGTACTATCAGAAGACTAAGTAAAATAAGAGCTGATATACTTGAGTCTTATGTGATAAAATCTAAGATATAAAAATAATTAAGGGCTGCAGGGCTGCCCTGGGGTTCTGAGCAACTGTGGCTCTTGCAGAGAACGGCTTTTGCTTCTAGACACCCATGACTCACAGCTTGCAACGGCTGTAACTTCAGCTCCAGGGGATCTGACTCTCACCTTGACTAAAGTAAACTTAATTTCTGTGAAGCATTCATGTAATGATTTAATATTTTTTCTGTAAGGTCAAAAGAAATAGACTGGCAGCCTTATTTTACCACACGCATTGTAGATGATTTTGGCACTCACCTGCGAGTATTCAGAAAGGCCCAACAGAGAGGAACAGAGAAAGATGATCAAGTGAAAGGTATGGACTTACTTCATTTGCCAGTTAGGCTTTAAAATCTTTTATTTCTGTGAATTCTCAGTTATTCCTTGTTGTTCTAGGTACAGCAGAGGATCTGGTAGAAACCTTTTTTGAAGTTGAAGTTGAAATGGAGAAGGACGTTTGCCGGGATCTAGTGTGCACTTCTCCCAAAGATGAAGAAGGTTTTATTTTTAATATAACTCTTTTGAGAACAGTCACTGGATAGAGACAAGCTAGCAGAGCAGATCCACAGGGGCATTTCTCTTGCACAGGGTAGCTCACATAGAAAATGATATTTTATTGTAGTTCTTAAAGGTAGCTTCTGCATTCTTTCCTCATCCTAAAGGGTAACTTTAAATAACTGAACATTTAAAATTTAAAAACTAAAGTAATTCTGTTTTTCAATTTATTCTTTCTACCAAGAGAGTACACCTGTTATCCCAAACCCTTTTCTAATTAATTTCAAATAAAATTATTTAGATTATTATGTGCTATTTTATCTGTTTGACTAGTTACTGGAATAAGTGTTTCTTCATGTTTAAATAAAATTTCTCTTGATGAGAAGTTAGAAAATTTTAGTTGGAGGTTTTTTAAATTTTGGTTTAGTTTCACAATTTGGCCTTTACTATTTTGAATGTGTTTTACCAATGGGATTAGCTGTTGAATTGTTTTCCAAGAAATATCCATATGGGAACAACAATGACAGGGAACTGGTAGTTCTGGAAGAGATTTTCTTCAGTTTGAGAAGGTGCCAAACTGTTTTCTTGCCTTTGATATTATTTTATTCTTTCCCTTTTTCCTTTTTTCCAGTTTATGCTTTTTATTAAGTTTGGTTTTCACTGCCAGTTCATTAACATTGTATAAAATAATAGTTAAAGAACAAGCACATAAAATGGTGTAAAGTTTTTGCATCTGAGTTGAGCTTCCTTCCATCAGTAGAAAAGCAGAGCATGTGCCTACATTGTTCTTACATGCTGAAACTGTGGAAGTGTTGTCCTGAAATAGTTCTTACAGTCATCTTTATGTGCACAAGTAACCTCTCAGTATGCAAGGGTAATTAATGCATAATAAAAGTAAAAAGTACATTGTGCATTTAAAACTGTCTTAGACAAAAAATAAAATTTCTTATGATTAATAAGTCTGGTTCAAACTGATTTGAGTTTGATTAATGAGTAGTAAGTATTTGGAGAACAGTGAAGGCGGCTTACTGAACACTGTTATGTTAGTAGCAAAGTAGGAAGCTCTTATGAATACAAGCCATCTTAAAAATGTTCTTTATATTAAGAGTAGGTAGAGACTCTAGATTTTCTAATATTGTTGTGGCTACTTTTTCTGTTTTTAGGATTCCTAAGGGATTTGTGTGAGGTTTTATTATATTTATTGCTACCTCCTGGAGATTTCCAGAACAAGATCATGCGATACTTTGTCAGGGTAAGCGTAAATTCATACCAAATAATGATGTAAAGGAACTTGGAGCAGTAGTTCTCAAAATCTTTGGCCTCAAGACTCAGTTAAACATCATAATTATTGAAGCATTAAGGAGCTTTCTAAAGATGTGATTCTTTGTCTATAATATGTACATATCATAAAAACAAAAAAAAATTAAAACATAAGAGTGTGTAAGTATTTATTCCATTAGCTAATAGAGCAGCGATATGCCACCTTTAAAATTTTAGTATAGGCTTGTTAGAGACTAAGTATGAAAAGGTAAATATCATTGTGAAAATAGTTTTGACCAAGTTCATTCTTTGAGGAAACCTTTGGATCTATGGCCATATTACCCTGAACATATTGATCTGATCCGATCTCATGAACTAAGCATGGTTGGGCTTGGTTAGTAATTGAATGAGAGAAATGACCTTGTGGACCTTTTCTGAATTCCTCAGAGGTCATTGGCCAATACTTTTGAGAATTGCCTTAGAATTAGATGCTTTAATCTTTGATTATAATATTTAGGCTTTTTTTTAAACTTAAAAAATCCGTACAATATATATTTTGATTGTTTCCTCTCTGAGACCCTCTCCACCTTTCTACCCACCCTACTTCATGTTCCTTTTTGCGTCTCTCTCAAAAACAAAACAAAAACAAGAAACACAGAAAAATCTCACAGAAAGGAAAAATCACAGAAAACTAGCACAAGTCCAGTAAGACAAAACAAAAGTCCGTAAAATAGCATGGGTTCATTTTGTGTTGGTAACTACTACTGGATATGGGGCCTTCGCTGAAGGGATTGGTATACTAAGTGAGAATCAATGGGAGAAAACGGGTTTTCTCTTTGTCCGTGGCATCTATTATATATAACTTGTTGGTTAGAGGTGGGGCTCTGTGTCTACTTCCTTCTCTTTGTCCTGTCTTTCTTGAACCTGTGCAGGTTTTATGTCTGCTGCCACAGTTTTTGAGTTCATATGTGAGTCCTGCTGTGGCTGGAAGATTATGATTATGTTTCCTTGAAGTCATCCAAGCTCTGGTTCCTAAAATCCTGTTGCTTTCTCATTTGCATATTTTTCCCTGAGCCCTGAGAGGAGGGGTTTGGTGACAATATCACTTTTAGGACTGAGTACCCCAAAGACACTCTCTGCATCCGATACAGTTGTTGGTCTCTGTGTTAATTCCATTTTACTGCTATGAGAATCCTCTCTAGTTTGTGTTCTGTAAGGCACAGATCTAGCACTGTGTCATTGGGAGTTACTTTATTGCTATGTTCCTTTAGCTGAAGAACAGCGTAGGTTTTCTTTCAAACCTATGACCCTATCTGTTTTCAGGTTCTTGGCCATTTTACCAGTGTCAGGTATGGGTTCCAGTGTCATGGAGTGAGTCTTAAGTATAGTCATAAAGTGGATGGTGATACCTGTAGCAGTTATGCCATTATTGTACCAGTGCATCTCACAGGGAGCTCACTGCTTAGGTCTCAGGGTTTGTAGCTAGGCGATACTTACTGATTATTGCTTTCCTCCTCCGGCAGTACACAGAAAACCTTCCGGTACCATGAACATTAGCCATTCGGGGTGAAGCTTCTAGTCGGGCACAGGCTTAACTCTTCCTTGTCTGATGACATGACTAAATGCTGTCCTCAGCAATGAGACCTTACCATCATTTGTTTGTGGTGAACAACCAAATAGCATTGGGTAGCTTATGAGATTTAAGACATTCTGTGAGGACCATTTGGCTAAGAGAGATAGACTTTGTAAAATGTCTTTGCTTTTACAATTTGGTTTTATATAAATTAAGTTACATAGTTGTAACATTTCTAGGAAGAAACTTTAAAGTGAAATTGGCTTTTCCTAGTTTGGAACAAGACTAAGATGAGAATAGTGACCTTGAATTGTATCCTCTGTTTTAAATTTTTTGTGTAAAACTTTGTGTAAATGCAAATTTTGGCTTTGACTGCTGGTTACAAATGCTAAGAAAAGAACATATCCTGGTAAAACGGGTTAAATGAAAGTACATTGGCCTAAAGCATAAACTCATAATCATCTTAGTCTTTCCTCTGAAGTACTCAACAATTCGGTAACCATGCTTTTATGCCGCTGTGCTGTTGTTTAGTCAGTATCACACAATTTCAGCATCTGTATAACTTGATTTTACAGGTATGTTCATGACAGTTATAAGAAATGAGTGTTACGTTTTGATGGGAGAATGTGATAGAGTAATTATTTATGTAAAACCCAGTGATTGAACTAATTACAAAAGGTGATAATAACTCTCAGTATGCTTGTTACTGTAATGTAGACTCAGATCTACATTATTTTTCAACTCTTCTGCCTAATTTTTAAGTATTTAAGTTCTTTAGTCCTAAGGCCTGTTCTTGCCAACTCTCTGGCTTTTTAAATCCTGTCCAAATGCTCATGAGCTTTACCTTTGTGTCTTTAGGTCAAACTTTGCTTCTAAAGTCCATGTTATTCTTATCAGCTCCTCACATGAAATAGCTACTTGATAAACTTTTTTAAAAAATTTTTTATTAATTACGCTTTATTCACTTTGTATCCCCCCTCCCCTCCCTCCCCCTTCTTCATGCATAACCCTCCCCAATTCTACTAATAGGGGAGGTCCTCCTCTCCTTCCTTTTGATCTTAGTCTATCAGATCTCATCAGAAGTGGCTGCATTGTCATCTTCTGTGGCCTGGTAAGGCTGCTCCGCCCCCCCCCTCAGGGGGAGGTGATCAAACAGCAGACCAATCAGATTATATCAGAGGCAGTCCCTCTTCCTGTTACTATGGAACCCACTTGGACACTAAATTGCCATGGACTACATCTGTTCAGGGGTACTAGGTTACCTCCATGCATGGTATTTGGTTGGAGTATGAGTCTCAGGGAAGACCCCTGTGTCAAATTTTCTGATTCTGGTGCTCTCCTTGTGGAGTTCCTGTCCTCTCCAGATCTTACTGTTTCCCACTTCTTACATAAGATTCCATGCACTCTGCCCAACAGTTGGCCATGAGTCTCAGCGTCTGCTTTGATAGTCTGCAGGGCAGAGCCTTTAGTGTCCAAAACGAAAGTGCTAGGGCTGAATAGCTGGTTTCCTGGTTAAGAACACTTGCTGCTCTTATAGAAGACCAGAGTTCAGCTCCTAGCCCCCTATCAGGTTGCTCTTAACTTCCTGTAACCACATTCCAGGGCAATCAGTGTTCTCTTTAAGATTCTGAGAGTACCCACATTCATGATTCATCATGCGGCAGACTGATAGGTATATGATCACATAAGAAGGAAAAAAATAAAAAAACCTTCATCTTACAGAAGCTTTTCAGTTTCGTGAGGTCCCATTTATTGATTGTTGATCTTAGAGCCTGTGCTATTGGTGTTCTGTTCAGGAAGTTGTCTCCTGTGCCAATGAGGTCAAGGCGCTTCCCCACTTTCTCTTCTAACAGATTTAGTGTTTCTGGTTTTATGTTGAGGTCTTTGATCTACTTGGACTTTAGTTTTGTGCAGGGTGATAAATATGGATCTATTTGCATTTTTCTCCATCCAGTTAGACCAGCGCCATTTGTTGAAGATGCTGTCTTTTTTTCCATTATATGGTTTTGGCTTCTTCGTCAAATATCAAATATCCCTAGGTATTTAGGGTTATTTCTGGGTCTTCTTTTCAATTTCATTGATCCACCATTCTGGTTCGATGCCAATCCCATTCAGTTTTTATTACTGTTGCTCTATAGTACAGCTTGAGTTCAGGGATGGAGATATATCCAGACAATTTCTTGTTGTACAGGATTGTTTTAGCAATTCTGTTTTTTTTTTTTCCATATGAAATTGAGAATTTTTCCTTCAAGGTCTGTCAAGAATTGTGTTAGTATTTTGATGGGAATTGCATTAAATCCATAGATTGCTTTTGGCAGGATGGCCATTTTTACTATGTTAATCCTACCTATCCATGAGCATGGGAGATCTTCCCATCTTCTGATATCTTCTTCAATTTCTTTCTTCAGAGACTTGAAGTTCTTTTTCAAACAGGTCTTTCCCTTGTTTGGTTAGAGCCACCTCTCCCCTTTATGTTATTTGTGGCTATTGTGAAGGGTGTAGTTTCCATAATTTCTTTCTTGGCCCTTTTATCTTTTGTATACACGAGGGCTACTGATTTTTGTAAGTTAATTTTGTATCCAGCCACTTTGCTGAAGATGTTTATCAGCTGAAGGAGTTCTCTGTTTGAATTTTTGGGGTCGTTCATGTATACTCTCATATCTCCTGTGAATAGTGATACTTTGACTTCTTTCCATTTTGTATCCCCTTGATCTCCCTTAGTTGTCTTAGTGCACTAGCTAGGACTTTCAGTACTGTGGTTGACTTCTTTCAATTTGTATCCCTTTGATCTCCCTTAGTTGTTTTATTGCTCTAGCTAGGACTTCCAATACTATGTTAAAGAGATATGGAGAGAGTGGGTAGCCTCATGAAACTGAAAAGCTTCTATAAAGCAAAGGACACTGTCATCAAAACAACACAATAGCCCACAGAGAGAAAGGATCTTCACCAACCCTGTATCTGACAGAAGGCTAATATCCAGAATATATGAAGAACTCAAGCAACAAATCAAGTAAGCCAATTTAAAAATGGGATACAGAGATAAACAGAATTCTCAATAGAGGAATATCAAATAGCAGAGAAACACTTAAGAAATGCTCATCATCTTTAGTCATCAGGGAGATGCAAAATCAAAAGGACCCTGAGATTTCACCTTAAACCCATCAGAAAAGCTAAGATCAAAAACTCAAGTGACAACACATGTTAGAGGATGTGGAGAAAGGGGAACCCTCCTCCACTGCTGGTGGGAATGTAAACTTATACAACCACTTTGGAAATCAATCTGCCACTTTCCCAGACAATTAGGAATAGCGCTTCCTCAAGATCGAGCTATACCTCTCCTAGGCATATCTCCAAAAGATGCTCAAGAGATGCTCAAGTATACAACAAGGACATCTGCTCAAACATGTTTGTAGCAGCTTTATTTGTAATAACCAGAAGCTGGAAACAGCCCAGATGCCCCTCAGTTGAGGAATGGATGTAGAAATTGTGATACATCCAAACAGTGGAATACTACTCAGTGATAAAAATCAAGGAAATCATGAAATTTTCAGGTAAATGGTGGAAACTGGAAGAGATCATCCTGAGTGAGGTATCCCAGAAGCAGAAAGACACACATGGTGTATACTCACTTATAAGTGGATATTAGACATATAATATGTTAAACATACTAAAATCTGTACATCTAAAGAAGCTAATCAAGGAGGACTCTGGGTAAGATGCTCAATCCTCATTCAGAAAAGCAAACAGGATGGACATCCAAAGAGGGGCAAAACAGGGAATAGGACAGGAGCCTGTTCCTGTCTGTGGTCCTGTTCAGAGGACCACAGAGGGCCTCTGAAAGACTCTACCCTGCAGGGTATTAAAGCAGAAGCTGAGACTTCTAGCCAAACTTTGGGCAGAGTGCAGGGAATCTTATGAAAGGAGGGGGAGATAGAAAGACCTGGAGGGGACAGTTGCTCTACAAAGAGAGCAACAGAACCAAGAAATCTCTGTCCAGGGGCCTTTTCTGAGACTGATACTCTAATCAAGGTCCATGCATGGAGATAACCTAGAACCCCTGCACAGATGTAGCCCATGGCAGTTCAGTCTCCAAATGGGCTCCCTAGTAAGGGGTTTGAACAGGGGCTGTCTCTGACAAGAACTCGGTGGCTGGCTCTTTGATCACCTCCCCCTGAAGGAGGGGCAGCCTTACCAAGCTACAGAAGAAGACAATGCAGACAGTCCTGATGAGACCTGATAGGGTAGGGTCAGATGGAAGGGGAGGATGACCTCCCCTGTCAGTGTCCTGGGGAAGGGGCATGGGAAGAGAAGAGGGAGTGAGGGTGGGATTGGGAGGGAATGAGGAAGGGGCTACAGCTGGGATACAAAATGAATAAATTGTAATTAACAAAAAATTCATTTAAAAAAAGAAAAAAGAAAGAAAAAAATCTCCAACATCAAAAAGGAATGTTTTACTCTTGATTCTGTATCATGTTTGAAGTTTAGCCTTTTTTAAAAATATCCCAGTGAATATAATATAGGCATCAAGCGAGAGGGAACCTCTGCAGGTTCTGTATGATGTGACTTTTATTTCTATCCTCATGACATACAGTCTCAAAGAAAACCCATTTTGTGTGGTGAAGTTCCAAATAGGAATTATATTCAGTAACGGTTCAAGTAAGGAAAATAACGCTTCATTATAGAACCAGAACTAGGTCTGAGTATATGAAAAAGAAATGGAAATGTATAATCATGAAATAGAGTGGTGATCAGTGGGTTGAACATTATGTTTTCATTACCCATTCTTCTATTAGTGCATCTCTAGTCGGTTTTCAGTTTCTGACTCTTTTGACTAGACAGCAGCGAACATGATGAGCTAGTTTCTCTGCAGTACTGTGTAGCATCCTTTCGGTGTACATGCTAGAGTGATATGGTTGGATCTTGAGGGCGATCTAGTCCCAGTTTCTTGAGATACTGCCACCCTGACTTACATAGCGACTGTGCGAGTTTACCCCTCGACCAGCGGTGGATGAGCGCCTCCTTTACCCCACATTCTCACCAGCATGCCAGCTCACTGTGCTTTGATAGGCAGGCTGACTGTTTAGTGATGTCACTGCCCCTGGGCGCGGCGCCCTCCTACATCAAGTGGCATTAAGAAATGCCCTACAGACATGGCCACAGGCCAGTCTGATTTGGGTAGGTTTTTTGTTGACCTTACTTAGTGAGTCTTAAGTTTATATCAAGTCGATAGCTGAGGCTAACTATGACAGAAGCATATGAAAGATGTGAGGATGAGAAATTTGATTAGATATTGAGGGTGAGGCACTCCAGCACTTGTGGTTGGATTATTGCTAAAATGTGTGCTTCAGTGATGAAAAAAAGTTGCGGTTTAAGTTGAAAGAGCGTTCAAGTAACCAGCTAGAATTTGGTTGAGGATAAAGATAAGTCCCCTGGACTGCAGGGAAACAATAGAGTCTTGTGACCCTTGTCAAGCCAGACATTTTATGAAGAGAATTAGAAGATCAAAGTACTTTTTTTAAGACAGATTCACTGATCATGTTAATTAGTAAACATTAATTGACAGTTATTTCCAATCTGTTGTTTTCTCATTTTGGAAAGAAACTCTGGAAAATTGATTTGGGGAATTGATTCTTTATTTTCTTATGAAGTACATTTTAAACTTTGAAGAGATATTTTTTATTTTTTAATTTAATTTATATAAATAATAAAATTATTTAAATTTAATGTTTTTAAAGAGATTAGAACCTGCTGTGGGGCCTCGTGCCCATATTCCCAAGAGTTAGGAGGCTGAGGCAGGAGGATTAGGGATTCAAGCTCATCTCAGCTATACACTAGCTTTAAGGCTTCTGTTCACAAGTAAAACAAGAAAATAAAAAGTGAGAAGCTAAAGCTGACTTTGAAATGATCCATTTCTCATAATGCAGAACTGTAAAGAATCTCAGAGTCTACAACTTACTGGTGCCTATGTTACTGCGTGTTAAAAATACTGATTCATTATGGGGCAGTAGTTGTCAGTGACACTGTTTACCCATGCAGGATGATACAATGTTTCTTTTAAAAAAAAGACAGATTTCTCTCTTTCTCTCCCTCCGTGTTTGTATGTATATGTATGTATGGATGGATGGATGAAAACAAGTGATGTTGTTACTTTAGTGGTCTGATAAGAGAATCAATGGTCTTTTACTTAATAAAGTGAATATTGTTAGCGTTACCAGTTTTTCTCAAGAAATGAATTACGATAACTTTAGATATCACCGTCATTAAGGAATGGCTAATACCTGCTAAAAATATCTCTGTCAGTAGTATCAATTCTAAATTCTTATGCCTTCATTTCCATTCATGCAAGTGAATGCCCAGGTTGGACTTAAATAGCTTGGAGGAGTGGTGAATATATTTCAAGATAAGGAACTAGGTCAGTTGAGGAATCACACTTATGCACAGAGGGTTGCTAGGCAGCGCTACTGTATCAGAGAAAAGTAAGATGTAAAGTAACAAAGAATACTAAGAGACAGTATTGTAAATACATGTGCAGATGTGTTTTAAACTTGGAAGTGAAAAAGCTTTCAACTGGAAGGATGAGGGCCCACTTCATAGGTTCATCAGTTCTTAGAGGGAGGGCAGAGTTAGTACAAGAGGGCCTAAACCCTGCAAAGAATGGGACTCTCTCTAGCGGATGTGAGTAGGTTTTATAAATTGTTTTCCACATTTTTTATTGTGAGAATACTTAGATAGCGGAGACATTTGAGTCCCAGATACCCAGACTTCACTAGTGCCAACACTATCCAGTACTTGTTCCTCTCATCGCTTGAAGGAAACAAATCTGAAATTGATGTGTATCTTCGCTTTTTTCTTTTTACATGTGTCTAATGTAGATGCTTGCATTTAAAGATGTCTTTATTCTATTATTTTGCTTTTTAAAAATTCACATAAGTACTAATATTCTAGAAGTATCCTTTTATTGTTGTTTCTTAAATTTCCCTGTAGTTGTTATAGAGATGTGTTTTAGTTGGTATTGGTAATTTTATCTCATCTATTTTGATGTGGGGATGATAGCTCACCGTTCTTATAAGGCCGCTGTGATTCTGTATTTCATGTGTATCCCCGCTCTCATTGTTTTTTTCAAGAAACCACTGTGTTAGATTTGAGAAGATGCTAAATTTAGCTATTTTTAAATTTAATTTTAGGAAATCCTTGCACGAGGAATTCTTCTTCCATTAATAAATCAACTCAGTGATCCTGATTATATTAATCAATACGTCATATGGATGGTAAGTACTTTTAAAATTTTGATTTGTATTTTAAACAGGTTGTTAGTAGTTAAAATACTATTTGGAGATCAGAGTGATTAATCAGCAGTATATTAAAAAAATGACATAAAAGTTGTACATTTTCTAGAATCTTCCTTACTATTACAGTGTTGCTACTGTTTATTTTATAGTAATGGCTTTTGCTGCATGTGTTATGTAGAGATGAGTATTTATAACAAAGCTCAGACAGGTTATGTATTCCCTAATTCCCTATCTGAAATTTCTAGGACTTGTACTTGGTGGCCCCAAGGTGTAGGGCATATGTTTTTAATATGCTGCTCTTCTGGCTTCATTTCTTGCTTTTCAAAAAAAAAATTATCTATCTATCTATCTATCTATCTATCTATCTATCTATCTATCTATCTATCTATAGTTAGCTATCTAATATTTATTATTTTATTTTAGTAGCACAAATGGCTTTTCAGCTGGTAAATTTTCTTCCTGTTTTGTAACTATTAGTATTTTAGTGGTTGTTGTAAAACTTAGAATGAGCCGCTTCATCCACATTTGCATAGAACAGTGCTTTCCCTGTCTCCTATTCAGTATAAGCCTGCCTATAGGACCATTTTAACTCCTGTCCTGTTAACTCTTGTCACATATTCTGTCTATCTATTCACATAAGTAACTTATTCAATAGTACACTTAGGCTTATGTACCATAGTTTCTTAAAAAAAAAAAAAAAACCTAGGGAAAAATTAAGCCCTTGAGCACCCACCACATATATATGACTTTTAATGATCCTCATTTTTCTTATAATTCTAAATATCAATTTGTTCTTCTTTTATTCTGAACAGTTTCTTGTAGGATTTGTATACTTTTGAAGATTGATAGCATCAGAGGCATCAAAATCTCTGAGTCTTTGCTTATTGGAAAATATGTTTTGCAATAAGGTTCTATGATTTTTCCATTTTCTCTAGCATGTTTGGCAGTTCTATTTTAGTACTTTTAAGGCTGTTTGATTGGAAAAATAAGTTTGTCTTCTTGCTTTCCTTGTTTCTAATGAAAGGTTAGCGTCAGTATTGTGATTGTGCCTAGCTTTGTGTTCTCTATTTCTGCAGCTCCAGTTGTTGGCTCTCTGCTGAACGACAAGCATCAGGGATGAGGAGCTACCTTTTCTCAGTCCTGCTGCTTTGCTCTGTTGAAAGTGTTTTATTAAACGTGCTCATTAACGTAGTGGTGACGGTTTAGATACTAAGTGCTCCGTTTCTCAGCACATGATAGCGGAGCCCTGATCATGTCTTAAGCCAGGCCTGTTCTCCAGTCCTGTCCAGGAGTTACTGAGTGTGCTTTTGATGGGGTCTACCCTAACTGAAGTTCATGAGCACTCATCTCATTTGTATCATAATCTGTTCTGTGATCCTTGTATTTTTCCTGTTTTTATATTGCCTGTTGGTTTTTTTTGTTTGTTTGTTTCTTTCTTTTTTTTATGTTTTGGCCTTTCTCAGTCTTTTGCTGTTTCAGTATGCTTGATCTACTATATCTTCTTTTCTTCAGTCAACATTCATTCTATGATTTCTGTGCAGTTTTATGCTCTTAAGTTTTGCCTCTCTGTCAGTGATTTTTGCCTAGTCTTTCCTGAGTTCTTGTCTTTCATATGGAAAAGCATACTTAATGATTATATTAGGATGCTTAATAGCTCCTCAACTCCCTCTTCTGGTGTCATCTCTATCTTGTTCTTTGAGAACTCCTCCATTACTGTTTTTCAAGCCCTAAGTTTTAGAATAGTTCTCAGTGTTCTTTATTTTTCACTGTCATCTGAATTGTTAGCCAATTCTTTTGGTACTGTTTGTAACAAACATCTTAACTCTGACCATCACACACAGAACTTTACAGTGCCTTTTCTGCCTCATCCCTCCTCCCCACTCCCCCCCATCTGCTGCCGTGTTTCACCTGTGCTTTGTTCTTTTCTTTTCTCCTGGAGTACCATATTTGGTTTTTATTTGGCAGCATAGTATATTCTATTTCAAGTAATAGTATGATTAATCCTGGTGACTTCATCTCTTTCAGAAGCACAACCCCTTACCATACTAAAGAGTTTTACCCTGTCCTGCTTCTCTCGTCCTCTGCTCTTGCAGTCCTTTGGTTTGGCTCCAGGCACTTCAGTTTCCTTGCTGTTGTCAGCCATTCTGAGCAGATTCTGTGCTTTTCTGTATACAGTACGTGTGGCTCATTCATGTTTTGTTTATTTTAACATAAGTGCTTGCACACTGCTTTTTCCTTTTGGCAGAAGCAATTGGACTGTAGTGGGTGGTACCTTTCCATTGTTGTCATTCAGTATTGAATTTGTCTCCTAGTAAGCAGTTCTCATCCTACCTGTTCTTTACAACTTTATTTTCAGATCCGTGATTCAAATTGCAACTATGAGGCCTTTATGAACATTATTAAATTAAGTGACAATGTTGGTGAATTAGAAGCAGTCAGAGATAAGGCAGCAGAAGAGCTGCAGTACCTGAGGTCTTTAGACACAGCTGGTGATGGTGAGTGAGTCACAGCGAAGCTTGTTCTCTTGAGGGTTATCCTAACCATAATAAAACTTAAAATGTACATAACTGAGAAGTTTTAGTGCTCCCGTGAAGTCTTCCCTACTGCATTAACATGTTAGGAAAAAGCATAATTGTACATTATGTACATAATTATACACTCTCCTCTTAGTTTGAGGAGGGTGTTACTGCAGTTGTCCTATCGTACAGATACTAGGTATGATTTAAAGTAAATAAATAATTTCATGAAGGAATTTTTCATTGTTTTTATTGAAGCAAAATTGCTGTATTGATTATTTTGTTGAATTACAAATATGTTGAAAATACCACAACCATTTTAAGCTCATAAAGAGTTTGGTTTTTTTCTTTCAGATATTAACACTATCAAAAATCAAATAAATAGTTTATTATTTGTAAAGAAAGTATGTGACTCAAGAATACAGCGATTACAGTCAGGCAAAGTAAGTATAAAATGCTTTTAAAATAATGCCTAGTTATAAATACCTAGTTGTAAATGCCTAGTTGTGATTAAAATGCCTAATTTGTGACAAAAATAGGATATTTATTAATGAAGCTATTTACAACAGGACTTAAAAAAAAGGTAGGTGTGTGTGTGTCTGTGTGTGTGTGTGTATGTGTGTGTGTGTGTGTGTGTGTGTGAGTGTGTGCCTATGTATGTGTACTGGAGGTGTGTGCCATGATTGCTTTCCATCTTATTTTGGCTGCTGCGCTCTGAGATAGCCCCAGTGTTTGGGTTGTGTATGCACCTCTGCATCTGGCTTTTTGTGTGAGTCCTGGGGGTCTGAACTCAGGTCCTCACGCATGTGTAGCAAGTGTAGCACATCATTAATACAGGAACAGTTTTCTCTAACCCTGCTACTCCCAGAATAATTAACACAGAGAGACTAACTTATTTTACAAGTGTGCAGCCTTAGAGCTGTGTAGACATCAGGCCTCTAAGCTGTTTAGCTGTCTCTCAGACACACAGCCAAGTTACTTGCCAGTACGTCGTCCTGTCTCCTCTTTCTGTCTTCTCCCTTCCTACCCTCCTCCTCCAGCCTCATGATCCTCCTCTGACCTCAAGCCCGGGAACTTAAACCTCCACTTCCCCCTGTTCTGCACAGCCAGGCTGTCAGCAACTTTATTAGCCAGTCAGGGATAATTAGGGAGCAGAGTTACACATTATCACTTGGTGAGCCTGAGAATGTGCCCATCTGGAGTGTAACCAGATTTTGGGGTGCCAGTAATTAACGTTAAAACTCATAGCACCAGACCAACTTCCAAGAGCAAATACTTTGACAAATGACCGAGCGTATTCTTAGCCCCAGAGTGATGGTTTTATATGAAAGAGTATGATAGGTCCTTTCTAAAGCATTCAGGGAGATTGAAAACAACACTGCTTTAAAGTTTCCCTTTTGCAATGTGATGGGACCTACACATCTCTGCTAAACTATGGATGTAGCTTTCATTGTTATATGAAGATAAGGGGAGACTGATAACTATTTCAGAAGCACTTGATAATCCAGGACAAAAATAAGTACAAAACATACACATACTAATGATGGTTGTTCGAAGTAATGGAGATTTGATTGGTGGGATGGCTGTGAGTACATCGATGGTAGTTTGTGTGGCGTGTGCATGTGCACTGTCAACATCTGATGAGAAAAGGGTCCTAACAGGTAACGGTACAATACTGGTCCACTGCTAGCACACAGGGTTTTAAGAAGTCGGTGTGAACAAAATCTGAAGTCCAGTTGGAGGTGACAAGAGATGAGGATAGAAAGGAATGTGTTGATGGTCAGCTCTTGCTTTCACAGGTGTTCTTGTTTGCCTTTCTGTTGCTGTAATAAAACTGATCAAAAACAACTTAGAGAAGGGAGGATTTTGTCCCACATGTTTAGCTCACAACCCATAATATAGAGAAGTCAAGGCAAGAACTGCAGTGGAAAGCCTGAAAGAACATTGTTTGCTGGCTTGCATTTTGCGAGTTCTTATACAGTGCAGATTAGCCAGCCTAGTGGTGGTGCTATCCACAGTGGTGGGCACGCCCAGTGCATTGTTAGTCACGGCAGTAGCCAGCCTTTCTGATGTCTGTTCTCCTGGTTTATAAGGTCATGTTGATAATAACTGACAGGGTGGATGTACGCTTCAATGAAGTGATGTGTGCAATGCATCCAATAGTGCCCGGCTCTAAAAGCTCTTTAAATTTTGAACTTTTTCTCTACATAAATTCTCTTTGTAGATAGCTATCTTATTGTGTTACTGATTTGGTAATTAGCTCACTGTTTACATAGTCTGAAAAAATATGGACTCTCTAAACAGTAACAGAGGTTTTACTCTGTTAAAAGCAGAGTATTTTGTTGGGAATCAGTACACAGGAGAGGGGGAATCTTTGTCCTTGTCACATTTTGATAGAATGTTACATTTTACTTATATTTATGTAAACATCCTCTCCTAATGATTGATGGTTGAAGTGCTAACTTATACTCACTATGTTTGCAGGAAATAAATACCATGAGGCTAGCAGCAAACTTTGGGAAACTTTGTACAGTCCCCTTGGACAACATTCTTGTTGACAATGTTGCACTACAGTTCTTTATGGGTAAGGGAAACTTGGTTTAACTAAGACAGACATTAATTTTTTTATTTTAAACTTGTAGTAAAATTTAAGTAATAAAAATACTTTTAAGGCAGAATTCTGTATTTATTAAAGTGACTGGCTTACATTCTTAGCATAGCCTCAGGTTTCTTCCATAGCATATGTTAGATTTTTCCTCTCTCTCCCTCTCTCTCTCTCTCTCTCTCTCTCTCTCTCTCTCTCTCTCTCCTTCTTGGTTTTTCTAGACAGAGATTCTCTGTGTAGCCTTGGCTGTGCTGGACTCACTTTGTATACCAGACTGGCCTCAAACTCAGAGATCCTCCTCTCCCTCTCTGAGTGCTCGGATTACAGGCATACACCATCACACCCTGCTAATTTTCCTCCTTGTTAAGGCTGTCACATACATAATACATAAACACACGTGTGCATGTCTATGTGTGGTCACCGCTCCTGTCCCCCAGCACCCTTTGCATGTCCATTATCCTCACAGGAATCTTGGGTTGCTTCCGTAGTTTAGTTAGTGTGAATCAGGTTGTCATGTGTATAGAAGTGTAAGTGGTTTTTGAGATACTTCATTCAGTTCTGACAGCTGTATAACAATAAGTGCAGTTAATGAATCATGAGTTTCATACTTATGCTTTTTTCTTGGAGACCCACCATATCTTTTTTCAGTGACTCTTCCATTTTTACATTGCAGCTGGTGGAAGCTCCCAGCTCTTCACCACAACTTTTAGAGTGTTCATTCAGGGCTCCATCAGACCCTCCCAGTACTTCCTTATGGAGTTGGCTTCTTACTGTGCTATCTGGCTTGAAAGTTAATAATTTAAAGTATTAGTGAATTTTCCATGGTTATTATTTGGTATTACAATTTAAGCTCTTTTTTTTCTTTAGAAACTGTAGAGGTAGATATTTGTTTGGAAATAAATAAATGATTTTCATAACTAATAAGCATTTGTCAAACTATGTTAACAAATGGATCATAGAAGATTCTTGTATGATTTAAAATTTATTCACAGCAGTACTGTATTGGCCCAGTACTTGAGAAATGGAAGCAGAAGGATCAGGAGAACAAGGCTGTCTGCTATCTAGCAGTTCCATGACCAGCCTGAGCTACATGAGTTCCTGTCTTAAACAAACAAAAAATAATAATATTTATTGAGAACACATGATGTGTGAAAGAATTTATATTCATATGTGAATGAGCAACTTTGTTTTTAATGCTATTTTTATAGTATGTACACATTATTTTGTAAATATCACATTAAAATTGCTTTTATGTGGTAGACATTTTCAGTCTAAATCCTTGAATCATTATTTGTGTGATCAAAGTATATGTGGTTTCATGCAATGCTAATCTTAATTTTAATATATTTAGACAGTTTCACGTTATTACTAATCTTTATTCAAAACAGATATTGAATGTTGATGAAGTAGTTTCTTATGTAAAGTCTCATGTAGCATGTTCACTAGAAATTTCATCATCAGGACATGATACTAAAAAGCTTTAAGTTGGTTATAGTGGTTTGTGCCTATATTCAGAAGGATTAGGTAGAAAGATAATAAGTTGCAGACTAGCCTGGAATGCTAGTGAGATTCTATCTCAAAACAAACAGAAAAAGCATTCTCCTGTTTCCTACATAACTGTTATTTAGCTCAACCAATTTACAGTTATTTTTTACTTTAAAGATTTATTAAACATTTTGCTTTTAATTGTTTTAGTTTTGCGATTAATATAATTCTTTAATTTCCCTCTTTTCCTCCTCCTAAACCCTCTCACATATACTACCTTGGCGATTTATCCAGTGGCCTCCTTTTCCTTTACTGTTGTTACACACACACACACACACACACACACACACACACACACATGCACACTCACGTATTTATTCCTTAGTACACAAATACAGCCTGTTCAACCTGTACAGTGTTACTTAGGTGTGTTTTCAGGGCTGACCATTTGGTAGTAGATGACCAGGTTGTGTGCTCTTCTCTGGGGAAGATGATTTCTCTGATCTCAGCTTTCCTCAGTCGCCTGCAGTTCTTTCTGTGGGGCTGAGGACTTGGGCTTCTTCTGGTGTGTGAAATTGAAAGTGGTGTGGATGTTGAAACTGTAGCCCTTCTTGTTTGTTATGAGTTGACTTGACCCTAAGGCTGTAACTGTCTGTGTGGCTTTTGTTTGTAGATTACATGCAGCAAACTGGAGGGCAAGCTCATCTCTTCTTTTGGATGACAGTGGAAGGATACCGGGTTACAGCTCAGCAGCAGCTCGAGGTTTTGTCAAGTCGTCAGAGAGATGGAAAACATCAGACCAACCAAACCAAAGGTCTTTTAAGAGCAGCTGCTGTTGGAATTTATGAACAGTATTTGTCTGAAAAGGTAAGGGTTTATTATAGTCACTGTCTTCTACCTTTGGCATATCATTCATAATAATCTGTATGATGCTACGCAACCTTGCCTTGTTTAATCCTAAGGACAGTCTTCCTGTGTATTTTTATTCTCATTCAAGAAAGGAATCCAGTGTTTATAAAACCAAATTAGTATGTCCAACTCGTGGAAGTACTAAATGACAAAGTCAACACTGCTAGTTCTTTTGATTGAGGGACATGATAGATGGAAATGAGAAGGATAGAGATAAACATGAAGGCAGACAGCAGAGGGCTGCAGATGAGCTTAGCTCACAGCACTTGTCTGGCTTACACAGGCCTTCATACCATACACAAAGAAAGATTAGATTTTGTATTTCTGCATCTGTCACATTTTTGAAATGAAAGTACTGGTAACAGAATCATCTTTCAGATTCATTTTGTTCCCATATTCCATTAAAGCTTTGCTTCAACGTTAGTTTACTAAAACAAATTTAGTATAATGGTAGCTATTTGGAAGGGTTGTCTGGTGTCAAAAAGTGAGTCATAGAACACTAACATTCTTAACTTCTGTTTGTTCAACCGACTTAACTCCTGAGGAGAGTGTATCCTGTGTGCCCAACTCTGTACCAATATATCATGAGTAAATCTTTGTTAATCTTTAATAGGGGTTTAGAATAATGTTATGTTGAATTAGCTCCACTTTTCCAAATGGGGAGTAAGGCCTAGTAAGAGGAAATTTCCTTAATAAAAATGAAGAAGTAAATCCGTCTGCCAGGGTTGGAGAGATGGCTCAGCAGGTAAGAGCACTAAGTGGGTATTCCCACAGCCCCCAGAGGGCAGCTCACAACTGCCTGTCACTCCAATTCGAAGCGATACAACATCCTCTTCTGAGCTCTGTGGGCACCAGGAATACATATGGCACACAGAAGAAGAAGAAATACTTAGACAATTAAAGTAAATAACTCTTATAAAAGAAAAGAAAAAACAATCTTTTCAGTGTCCTTCCTGCAATCTACAAGATGAACAAAATACTGCAGTTATATTTTAGTTTTCTTAAATACTGTAGTGTCATTTGCTTTATCTTCTGCCGCTTACTTTAAATGATATGATTCTGTTATTAACTCCTATTATTTAAAGTTAACTTATACTTAGAAATTATAAAGATCATTATTTTCTCTCTGTTAGGCATCTCCAAGAGTTATTGTTGATGACTATTTAGTAGCAAAATTAGCAGATACTTTGAATCATGAAGATCCAACTCCAGAAATCTTTGATGACATTCAAAGAAAGGTATTAATATTTTATGTTTCTTGAAAGAATATTTCTGTATGCATACAGGTTTTTTTTTAAGTAGCATAGTTACTAAAATGATGTTAGAAAAGTAATAACTCTTAATTCCATTAATGTAGTTGACTTTTTTATTCCCTTGAATGACCAATGAGAAAAATCTTTATTTTGGGTTGCTCTGTTTGAATCAGAAGTAAGATCCAAGTAGTAAATAGTCTTAGAATTCAGTAATTATCTATCTATCTATAAGCATGCCTCAAAACTTTTCATAATGAGCCTTCAAAGTATGTATTTGTTTCTTAGCAAACACTACTTCTTATAGCACAAAAATGAATATCACATAATCTTATATTAAGATAGGACTCTTTCAATCACCGGAGAACCTAGAATATCATATCTTTAGTTATTACACCATCTTATTGTTGACACTTTGAATAATGATACACTGGAGAAAAACATCAATGAAGCTTTTGTGATATTTTATGTAGCAAAATTATTCATTAATATATATTAATTTTCAATGCCTCCATTATTTCAACAGGTATATGAATTAATGCTACGGGATGAAAGATTTTATCCTTCCTTCAGGCAGAATGCACTGTATGTGCGGATGCTAGCTGAGCTTGACATGTTAAAAGATCCTAGTTTCAGAGGGTCTGATGATGGGGATGGAGGTAAGGTAGAATCAGCATGCATTCTGATTGCCAAAAGAATGACCTTCTAAACATGATGAAAGATGGCGTTCTTAAACCCCCAATACAAATTGTAGTAAACTTGAAAGTGTATAAGTGAATGCCAGACTGAGAATGTTTTAACACAGGTCACCCAAAATACTTTATGATGATTTTCCTTTTGCTTATAAGTAATCCTGAAGTGACACTTGTGTGACAGGTAGAATGATTGGGAAGAATGAGGAATGAAGCCGTGCCTTTGAGAGTATGCCCCAGCTGGGAACACTGGACAATGTCGCAGCTGTTTTTCTTTTAAGTGTGTTTTTTCTAATGCTCACTGATTATGGGTGATGTTTTACTAGAAGCTGCTAGGTCATTTTTTTTTTTTTTTTTCAAATCATGATACCAAGAAATGGACTTCTGTGAGATGTTCTAGTGATACACTGTCAGAGTCAGGACATTTAGATTTTACCTTCATCCTACTGCTTACTTACCACTTGTGTGACATCCCTTATGTGCCATAAGCCTCATTTCTGTCCGGAGTCCATCATCGTACTATAGCTCACTCATCAGCTTTAGACAGAATTCTTTGTGTTAAAATGTGTAATGAGTTAGAGCCCAAACATAACGATATGTAAGTGGAAAGGAATGTGTTACAATGGAGCAAGAGGCCTTAAAACAATTCCTAAATCCAGGGGTCATTTTACTATGATTAAATTCAGAGATTTTGTTAAGACTAATTGGCTATCTAAGATTTGGACAGCTTTCTAGTATGGTCTAAGTATGTAAGCAATATAAAGATAAAGGAAATTGGAAAATTTGGAAGAACTAATTACTGTAAGAAAGTCTTTTGATTATGACCATTTTCCAGTCTATAGCCTTTTTGGACAAGACCATTTGAAATAGAGCTACAATAATCAGTTAGGTAGTACTGAAGCTTTAGTTATGATTATGTACTTAAGGAAGTAGTTTATGTTTTGAAATGTAATACTTTGTTGAGGGAGAAGAATAGAAAAATTGTACAGTTTATCTCTTTATGCTGCTGGAAAATGTTAGATATTCTATGAAACTTGAAAAAGCAACTGTCAACTCACCTTGCTAAAAATAACTACGGTAAAGTGTTTATATTAATTTCATCTATTTGGAAATGTTCTTAGCAATTTTGAAATGGATTTGTTGTGTAACCCAGAATGGATGAAGAACAAGTAACCTAAGTGCTATGGTGATATAAGATGCTGATAGTCCTATATATTCTATGTCAGTAGAATATTGGCTTATTGTTTCAATTCACCTTTTAGCCAGTCAGTCTGAACCATAGACTTGTTTAAAACATAAAATAGGTTAAAAATTTTTGAATTGGCTTTGTTCTAAAGTATATGCAATGCTATCATGTATCAGTTATTGAATGACTTCACATTAAATCACTGATTATAGTGTGTGTGTGTGTGTGTGTGTGTGTGTGTACTTCAGAGTACTACTTGCAGGTCAGTTTTCTCCTTCCACTGTCTAGGTTCTGGGTTGCTAATTCAGCCATGGCAGCCATCACCCGTAATCTGCTAAGCCATCTAGTTGCCCACATTCATGTGTCATACTGCTTTTTTTGGGATTATGAGTCATTTCTTTCTAATACTTTACTGTCTTAAAGGATAGAATTTTATACATTTTACACACAAAAATATTCAGTTGTGAAAGCCATTTATTTAAAAATTAGAGAAATAGTATATGAAACATTTTAAATGGCTGTCAGTTTTATTGTTTTTTATATTCTGGAACATAAGTCTAACATTCTCAAGTTGAATTCTTATTGTTTATTTCTCTCTATACTATTACTTATATTTGGAACTTGTCTTCAGTAGCAAGGTTTAAGAAGATTGCCAGACCACAGAATGGGTAGGAAACAATTACATACTGGGGACAGTCAACATATTCATTTACATTTAAGAATCATCTGCTTATAAACCAAAGAATAGTCCTAGATGATATTTTCTGGTTTTGGTTTTTGGGGCGTGTGTGTGTGTGTGTGTGTGTGTGTGTGTGTGTTGTCAGAAGTTTGGGGAACTAAGAAATGTTCTTTGTAGAACAAGTTATTCAGAACGAAAGGCAGTACCAGCTGTCCCCTTTAGAATTGTACAAGTAATGCAGACTTTTGGAAGATTTCATTTAAAAATCAAATTGACAAATTTGTTAAGGCTTAGAAAAGGTACATTAATCTTAAACTATATATGGATAGTGTTTTGCCATAGCTTTTTTTTTTTTTTTTTTTTGTGGTTTTTAGCAGAGATACCGTCATTGACAGTTTGATTTGTTTAAATATATAATAAAACCCAAGGGGTTTGGCTTGTCATTAGAGTCAATAATCTCTATTTGACTTAGTTGCTAATGTTTACTTACAGTTTTTTGTTCTTATTCTAATATTTACATTTTCCCCCAAGGCTTTAACAATTTTTTGGCTAAGTCAGCATACAAAGTAGTATGTCGGATGGCATTTTGTACATGGCTTTCTTTTTTACGTTTTTGACTATGTCTCTCTCTTTGCAAGCATCCATCTTCAGGCCGAGCTACTTTCCAAACATTTATTTAAAAAATCGTTTTCTCATCTCTATTACTTAATTAAGTGGCATTACATACAAATGGATTCAGAATCTAGACTTCAGTGTTCTATGCAAAATCTATGAGGAAACAGTGGACTATTAGATATTTTAAAACCAGTGTATTTGCATCTCACACTGAACACTGATACTGCTATGCCATTAGACTCTAGAGACAGAAGTCAGAAAATAATTCTGCAGTTACCTAATGAGTGTCCCTCTTGAGTTCTTGCCTCATGCTTGCATTGCATTAAACAACATCATATGATATGTGAAAAAAAAAGTGTAAAAACAAGTGGTACTTGGTTCTTGAATGTGAGCTTGTTTGTTTGCACCTGTCAGGTGTATGCATATTTTTTTTATTTAAATGCCTGATTGGCTTGGTAGTTGGAGGTTTAAGAGATTAGATTATCTGTAAGTGGAAAACAGTTTTATTCTGTTGCCCTGCTTTCATATGACCTGTGTTTGTTGTTTGTTGTTTTGCTGTATATTAAGCTGTATTTTTCTTTTATAGAATCTTTTAATGGATCTCCTACAGGAAGCATAAATTTGGTAAGTACTACTAATGGGTACTTAAATTAGTAAAATAACTTGAAAATAATCTGACAAAGTTTTGATATATCTAAATAAATGATATAATAGAAGCCTCCTCGATTTGCCCTTTAGAATGAAAAGATATTATTTTGAAATGAAATGAAAGAAATGTGAAGTTTGTAAAGCATCTGTGACTTTGAACTCGTTTTTAAGAAATGGGATTAGATCACACCTGCCTAGCTGCAGCTGCATTTTATAAAGGAATTGCTTTCTTTACCCCAGCACTTTGGAGGAGGGGCAGGCTATATCTGATCTTAACCCAGCCTGGTTTACGGATCAAATCCGTGCCAGCTACGGCTCTATAGTGATAATATAGCTTTTAAAAAGGAAAAAAGAATTAATTCCACCATTTTTAAATACTATATTCATATATTTATTGCTTTAAATTACTTTTCTTCCACTTTCAAAGGAAATACTAAATTGTTGGGATAGCTTTCAACTTAGCTAATATTTTGTTGCTGTGAAGAGATGCCATGATCAAGTCAACTCTTAGAAAAAAGAATCTTTAATTGAGGATATGGTTATATCTTCAGAAGCTTAGTCCATTATCATCCTGGAGGGGAATGTGGCATCAGACAGGCAGACATGGTATTAGAGAAGGAGTTACATCTTGATCTGCAGGCAGAGGGAGACTGGGCCTGTTGTGGGTTTTGGAAACTTCCAAGCTCACCCCTGTGACACACTTCCTCCAGTTATGCCATCTCCTATCTCCTTCCCAAACATTTTACCAGCTGGGAACTAAACATGTAAACATATGTGTCCCTGGGGGACTCCTTTAAACGACCACATATGTACTAAAGTGTACATCAAAACAATTCGACCCCTTACAAAAAGGTTTTTTTATTCAGAATTTTATAGCAATTATGTATTTTTATATAATTATTTATATATCTTATTATTTAGAGAATTAAGAATGATAGGTTTTTAGCCTATAAACTCCATGGGCAGTATTTGGCAGTATGCCTAGTAATGAACATATTAGTTCTTTTACACATCTGCTCTTGGCATTGGGTTACTTATTTTCTAAATTACTGTTAGGAAGAAATACTAATGTTCTGTGAAATATTCAGTTCATAGTTAAGCTGGGTTGGAGATCTTAACTAAGTTCAGAGGTTTGTTGTGACTTGTAATGGGTTTAGAGATCTGTTGTCATGTATTGGCAACTATGCTGTTCCTAATTTGGAAATAACCCATTAAGTAAATGTCCTTTTTGACATAAAATATAACTTTTGCAAAACAACTAAAGCAGACTAACCACAAGGATGCCATACTCTTTGTAACTTTTCAAGTGCATTCCTATATCATTTATGATATTTACTTGTTAAATCTCAAAGTGTCGTAATGAAAAGGAATTGTTTTTATAGCATTCAGTGTTAGGAGTAATTTTCATTATATACATAAAAACTTTGCAAATCTTGGAAACTTTTTCATTGTTTGAAATTTTCTAGTATTCATGTTTATAGTGTTTATATGATTGTTTAAACAGTAGTAAAATATGATTCTTGTTGCATAAGTGAAGGAGGTGCTTTTATAAGTAAGAGAGATAAAAAAAATTGCTAGATCAAAAATGACATTTGAAGTCAGTGACTTGCAGTGTTTTCTTTTTCTCATAAGTCTTGCAAACTCAAGCTTTTATGTAGCTAGTGTCACTCAGATTTGTTTTATGATTGAGATGAATTAAGAACTGTAGTGACTAGGTGCATTTTAAAAATAGGATTATAAACTAAATCACATTTGTTGATTGTAACATACTAAACCATGAAGATACTTAATGCATTGTCTGATTGGCACATCATCCTCTTGAGATTCGCAGGGAAATCATTCCTGTCATCTGTAACAATGACATTGTAATTGTGTGTGGTGAGCTAGCATAGAAAGTTTCTATTTTTAGCTAGGTACAGCACTGTGTGCTGATAGGCCCAGCTAGTCTGTGCACTGTGGCAGGAAGAACATTTGAGCCCTAGACTTCCTTGTCAACCTAAGACAAAATAGCAAGACCCGGTCTATAAAAACAGGGGAAAGGAGGGAGAAAAAAAAATTCTATATGAGTGAGTATATACCGAATGTGTCCTTCTGCTTCTGGGATAGCTCATTCAGGATGATCCTTTCCAGTTCCCACCATTTACCTGCAAATTTCCTTGTTTTTCATTGCTGAGTAATATTCCATTGTGTAGATGTACCATAATTTCTGTATCCATTCTTCAGTTAAGGGGCATCTGAGCTGTTTACAGCTTCTGGCTATTACAAATAAAGCTGCTATAAACATGGTTGAGCAAATGTCCTTATTGTGTACATGAGCCTCTTTTGGGTGTGTACCTAGGAGTGATATAGCTGGATCTTGACACAGAGGAAGACAATGCAGCCACTCCTGATGAGACCTAATAGACTAGGATCAGTATTTTAGGAGGCTGTTTTTTTTTTTAATTGTTGTATTTTGGTTTTGTTGTGTGTGTGTGTGTGTGTGTGTGTGTGTGTGTGTGTGTGTGTTTCAAGATTTGGTTTCTCTGTGTAGTCTTGGCAATGCTGGACTCGCTTTGTAGACCAGGCTAGCCTAGAACTCACAGCTATCCGCCTGCTTCTGCTTCCCTGAGTACTTGGGATTAAAGGCGTGTGCCACTATACCTGGCTCTTTATGAAGATTTTTATCTTTTTCATTTTACCTAATACAAAGAAGGATTATTATGATTTATTTTTGAAAAATATTTTGTTCTTTTAATGCTATGTTATAATCGAAATAACTTAGTTTATAAATTACAGGCAGATATTGGTTTTTTGAAATAATCGTATAGCTAAATTGTGCTGTTTTTATTTAAACATTTTAGTGTCAGCCACATGAGCACTTAAAATAAGTGTGCCTTATTTCTTTCCAAAATATTTTCACTTATACTTTGTCCTAACAAATGTGTGGAACTGTTATTATTGCCATTTTATCTTGAAAGCTGAAATGTAAGAAAGAGCAGTTGTAACAGCTGACAACTCTTAAGGAGTCAGTGGTGGGATCTGGGCTAGATTTAATTATTTGGTTCTATTATGTATCGCGACCAGGGAAGTAGTGCAGATCATCTGTGTGGAATTATGTTTTGATTTTCTTAACCATCAGCTAGTTGTCATTAAGTACCTCTTTTTTTTTTTTTAAGTACCTCTTTTTAAGTTGTCTTTGTGGAATGTATTTGCTGTATATCAAAGCAAGGACTCCATTTCACTCATTTACATTACACTCAGTAATTATTGGCAGTATTATATTAGGAGTCTGAAACAAGATCATGGGATATGTCTATGTAAAGTATATGATATCTGTGTGCTAAGGGTCCTTAGACCATTCCCATACTCATTTATTTGCTACAAAGGGTCACAGCAGTCAGCATAGCTCTGTGTACACAGCTAGGGTTTGTCATTGTGAAAGGATGGAAAACAAAGTTAGCAAAGAGAAGAAGTTGCATGAGGCACAGTGGAGGAACAAGGCACAATTTTCCAAAGTTCTTTTTCAGAGATGTTACATGGACCATGCTTACTTCCCCCATGCAGTGAGTTCTAACATCACGTAGTCTGCCAGCATTAAAACATGCTAGAGACCAAAGGCATTGGGATTTTGTTGGAGCCAGATGACAAATTCTGTCTGTAAATGCCAAATTCTGTGCACAATAGGAAAATGAGTATTGAGCATAAACACATTGTACAGAAAGTTTTAGATAGAATATAGCAGTGATATGAGTTAGAGAGTGGTGGGAGTCGCCCTCAAATCTGTTGTCCTTGTCAGCATTCAAGGAAGTTCTTGTAGGACCCTTGTAGGAAGGTCTTCTAAGAGCAGCTTTAGGCTGCTGGTTTTGTTGTCTTTATCTGCCCTAATCTGCCTTGGCCGTGCACATGCACACGTGTGTGTGTGTGTGTGTGTGTGTGTGTGTGTGTGTGCGTGCGTGCGTGCGCGCGTTACACACTCTTTAAAAGTTAACTTCAATTACTTTAATAGTTAAATTAATTGTGCATCAGTCATATAACTATAAATTTCACTAACAAAAGTCTTAGTCTGGACTTCTACTTACTAAATAGTCATAATTTCTGATAATTCTTATAACAGGCAGTTTTCTAAATACAGCTCTATGATGCAGGTGTCATTACTCCTCTTGTGTTAGGAAATCTAAATTCATTATTTCTCAGTTAACAAAGGAGCTAACAAATATAAATTAGCCTATAGTGTATTTCTGCATTAAAAATTTTATTGATAGAGATAGCTCCTGGCCCCCTTACTAGAGAACCCCCTTGGAAACTGAGCAAGGGCTCTAGGTCTTCTCCATACATGGTCCTTGGTTGGAGTATCAGTCTCCGAAGGACCCCTGGGCCCAGGGTTTTTTTGGCTCTGTTGGTCTTGTGTACCTCCTGTACACTCCAGGTCTTTCTACCCCCTCTTCTACCTACCTCCTTACACTCTGCCCAAAGTTTGGCTGTGAGTTTCAGGATCTCCTTCTATACCCTGACAGGAAGAGTCTTTCAGAGGCCCCTCTGGAAGGCTCTTGTACTATTCGTTCTCTTCTCCTACTTCTGATGTCTGTCCTGTTTGCCCTTCTGAGTGAGGTTTCAACCTCTTCCTTGGGTCCTCCTTGCTGTTTAGCTTTTTTTTTTCAGGCTCTTTGATCAACTCACCATAAGGAGTACAGCCTTGCCAGGCTGTAGAGGAAGATGATGCAGCCAGACTTGATGAAACTTGATAGGCAAGGGTCAGATAGAAGGGGAGGAAGTTCTTACCTATCAGTGAACTAGGAAAGGGACATAGGGGAAGAAGAGGGAGGCTGGGTGGGAGGGGATGGAGGGAGCTACAGCCAGGATACAAAGTAAATAAATTGTAATAAACAAACAAACAAATAAATAAATAAATAAATAAATAAATTTTATCGCAAAGAGTTTCTTTTTTAATTTTCTTTATATTTGCTATAATTGAAAATAAGTTACTGTGTATGGATAAGTACTAAGGAGGTTATTGTGATGTGTGAAGTTGGTTACTAAGTTGTTTGGTTTTATAGGTTTTTTTTTTTTTGTAATTTTTGTTCAAATGTTGAGACTGGATCTGTTGTGTAGCCCTTGTAGGCCTCTGCCTTTTTCTTGCACATTCCAGGACATAGAAACATAGCTTCCTCATGGAGCTCTCTCAGTATAAATGGAGAGCATTAAGGTGAGAGGTCTATCAGCCGTACACATGGTACAAAAGTTATGTGAGGAGATATGAATTTTGGACATTTGGCAGAAGTCTTAATACCTTTCCTTAAAATTTTGTTTACTAATTTTTTTTCTTCCAGTCTTTAGATGACCTTTCAACTATGTCTTCTGATGATCCTGTACAACTTCATGCCTACATTTCAGACACAGGTAAGAGGCTTTGTAGAACTACTGCTTTTAAATAGGGCTGGTTGTAATATCCCTGTTATTTTTACATTGATTATTGTATTCAGTTTGTTTTATGATCATATTTTCTAATGTTTTTCATGAAACACATTCTTCATTAAGTCCTATAATTTTGGTTTCTATACATGTGCATATTTTTCTTCTCTAAGATTACCACTGTTAACATTTGAAAATGCTTATTTTCTAAGCATTTTATCATTTCAAGTAAATTCTAAAGCCAGTCTTTTCCTCTTTTTACTTGAAAGCTGCAGATAATCACTTTCATAATTCCTGTTTCTTTTTCATGGAGATCTCCAATCTGTATCTGCTTTCATGCACTCAAGGAGAAGAGGACCTCCCCATCAGTGGACTTAGGGAGGGGCATGAGTGAAGAAGGGGGAGGAATGGTGGGATCAGGAGGGGAGGTGGGAGGGGCTTATGGAAGATACAAAGTGAATAAAGTGTAATTAATAATAATAATAGAATCTTTAAAAAAAAGAATTGGTATAGATAGCCAAGGCAGATGGCATTTGTACATATTCCTCACAGAACCTCAATGATGTTTTAATGGGTTGAACAACCTATGGCTTTGCAATAGGCAAAGATAGATAGGAAGATAGGTAGGTATATGGGTAGGTGGGTGGGTGGGTAGGTGGATGGATAGATGGATGGTTGAATGGATAGATAGATAGATAGATAGATAGATAGATAGATAGATAGATAGATATAGGAAATAAAATCCTCATCGTGACCATCAATTTAGTAATGCTGATGAGTATTAGATATTACAGTTTTCTTCCCTGGCCTCTCCCTTTCCTAGAATGTAGAAGTTTCTGCTATACCAACTTGGTGAATTATACACCTACATGCCCCAGTTAAATGCCATTTAGTTTACATTTTAGATACTGAAGAGATTTTGATTAAGTCTACTTTCAAAATAATAATCTGTATTTTTAAAAATGGCTGTTTTGTTTTTTTTTTTTTCTTGAGATTCTCAGTGGAGCTAGAGACTCATTTTGCATCTCTTATCTGCTGGATTTTGGGGATAAGTTATCTGTCAGTTGTTCCTTTACCTCTATGTCCATGTCTATAGTGTTAATGTTTTTCTTTTTATTCTGTTCTAATTTTCTAGGTTTTTTTTATTCAGTTGTTTATTTTTCAACAATATACTATTTTTTAAAGGCATGAAAGCATAAGACAAGATTTTTTTTAATAAATTGCTTTTACTCTCATTCAGATATACAGAAATTCTGGGGAAGCACAACTTTGACCAGCTTAGACCTCACTCTGTAGCTTCACTCTGTAGCTAACACTCTGTAGTGAGATAAACTCCTATGAGGTTTCTACTCAGATTTCTTCATCTGTCAGGTGGAAACTTAATACAAATGCCTATCTGTATAGGAAGGCTATAGCTCTATCTAATTATACTGGTAATTGCTTATATGCAACAGGCATCATATTTATTTATTCAATAAATATTTTTCCAACTGGACACTGATTCATGATCTCATGTCTTTGTCATATCTGTTATTGAACATAAAAACTACAGTCCAATTTTCTGCTGCTCCAAGACTGGTCCATGACCTCTATCATCTCTTGTTTCTTTCACCAAGAAATCCACCATTTAAAAATATGGACTAACTGTGTGTGATTAGCATGATGAAGTTGATTTTGGCAAAATTAATTCTTTACATGGTCATGATTTCATAATTATGGTTTGTAATTGCCTTGTGTGAGTAGCATTAGCCTAATGAGAATAAAACATTCCAGTTCTGTCTCCATTGTCTAAAAATTTGTAATATGGGTAGCTTTATGTGTTTCTTTAAAATCAAGTGATCTGTTTCCTGCATTTGAAAACAAAACTTCATTTTGTTTTCTTGCTGTATATGCATGTGGGTAGGCTCTTTTCCCTACCAGTGTGACAGATCTTGATAATTATTTTTGAAGTAGTTAATACATATTCTCTGTCTCTTTTCTATTCCTTGATATTTTCCTCACTCTTACTAATTTGGAATTGGTTATGGTTACTTGCCTAATTGGCATCAACGTTAGCTTCTCCAAACATCTCTTAGTCAAAATTGATAAAGCCAACCCTTTATTGCTCTTCAGTAGTGTTTGGGAGAGCTGAGTGTTTAACTTGATGAAAAATGGGTCTATTATTTGATCTGCTTGAGTCTGTACGATAAAGCTGATGGTAAAATGTGAGCAGTGGATAAAGCTTAAACTTGTGTGTAGAATGCGATGACCCAAGGATTTCTGTTACTGATGTTATCATTAATATAATTGTCATTGGCCAAAGAAAAGTATTGATAGTATATGTAAAGGGAAGGAAAGAGTTTTAAGTAGACAGTGTGAATTTTAGAAAAGTTACCATGAATAGTTAGAATGAGGCTCTGTTCACGTACATTTGCCAATATAGCTATCTACTTTTTATGTTATTGAAATAATTTACTTAAGAAACTACTTAGAAATTCCCTTGCTGGATGATTTGGAAGACAGTAAAATATTTAGTTAGCTCTAAAATGTCTCCTTTATTTGTTTCTTCACAATTACAGATCATTGCAGTCATATCAATTTTAGACTTTGGTTAATATAAGGATGTAAACTGCTACAATTTTTCCCACCTATGGCAATGTTCTGAAAATAGCTGAAGAAGTATACAGGTATCATAGGTCATGAGAAAAAACAAGTTCTGGGAAGTGAAGAAACAGTGAAATCTCAAGGCGCATACACTGTCTGGATTTTGATGTCATTTTTATGCCCTCACGTTTAGAAAAAGCAGAACTTTGTTCTTTAATTGTAAATCGGTGTCATCAAGGACAGTTTGATCTGAAACATGAACTAGAAAAACTTAGTTTAGATTCAAGTGTAAAGACTGAGAAATGTGAGGATCATAGTAGGAAACGATATCCAAGATCCACAGAAAAGCTAAGCTTCAGTTTGTGTGCTGACATGCGTTTTACTGTCCTCTAGTTATGGACCTCATGGTCTCAGTCCAGAGAAAGTTAGTATAGTTACCCTTCAGGTGTCACGCAGTATTAATTTTCACACCTCTTCAGATAGCAAAACCCACAGATGCTCTGTTCTCTTATGTAAAATTGTAACAGAGTATTTACATGTGACGTCTGCATAGCCTTCCATAGACTTCAAATCATGTCTAGATTTGTTGAGTAAGGCAGTGCAGTGAAATGCTATTTAAACAATTGATGTACTATATTGACTAGAGAATAAGGATAGAGAAAAAAGTTTGTATGTATCTGTACAAGCACATTTAAAAACTATCTTCAGTGCTCAGTTGGCTGAATCTAAGTACACAGAGGGCTACTGTGAAAATCACTTAGTGCGTTAACAGCTTTCCTGTCCTGTGTGTTCTTTCATAAGCCCAGGGCACTCGGATGCCTAAGGTGGAAAGTGAGTTTCAGAAAGCAGCTCCAGAAAGACATAAGAGCCACAGTAAGGGGAAGGTGTGCTTTCGAAAAATCAGAAATGACAATCTTAACAGTTCTTAGATATATTGAAAATTATTCAGAAGAATAAATTCTAAGACAAACATGAAAAGAACCAACAAAAGAATATAAAGTAAAAAATACAGTGATTAAAATAAAATAAGTGCCCAATTAAGAACTGGAGAGGAGCTTGACTGCCATGATGTTTGCCATAAATGGCAGTATTATCAAAATGGCTGAAGGAAGAAGTGTGCAGGTGCCTAGGCGATGAGGAAAAATGATGGCTCAGTTGGTAAAGTGCTTGCCACACAGACACAAGGATTGAGATCCCCAGCACTGCAGCATGCCCCTGTAAACCCCTTGTTGGGCAGGTGGAGACAGGAGTATCCCTGAGGTGTGTTGATCCACTAGTCTAGTCAGCTCTGTGAGAGACCTAGAAAGAGATCTGATGTTGATATGTTGTGTTCTTCTACAAGCTGTACACACATGCTTGCACACCTGCATGCATACACACACGAGATAGATATGAGGAGATAGCAGTGATGTTTTGGAGAACTAGAGCAGTGGTTCTCAAGCTGTGTGTAGCAGCGCCTACAGGGTCTCCTCTCAGACCTCCTACACATCGGATGTTCACATTACAGTTCAAAACAGTGGTAAATGACAGTATGAAGTAGCACTGAAATAATTTACTGTTGGAGGAACTTGTATTAAAGGAACTGTATTAAAGGGCCATAGTTTTAGGAAGGTGAATGAAATACAGAGCAAGCGTAGAAAGACAAGAATGTGATTCAGAGTTGATTAGTTGTACTAATCTTCATCTATAATTAATACAAAATAGAAACAGAACTGATTTCACTTTTAAAGGTCCCTGGCTTATATGGCATGTGGAAAATTAGGAGAATGAGCTTTTTTATTTTTTTCTTTTGTATTTGCTTTTGTTGAATGTTATCCGAAAAAGAATTGCTGGGAGATAAGCTTTACCCTGTGGCTGTTCTGTTGTTGTTTAGTTGAACAGGTTATAGCTAAATATAAATGAATGGCAAAAGCTTATTTGTTTGGTTTCGGGGTTCCTGGTGTATGAAATTTGGGAGGCCTTACTGCTTCAGTCTGTGTAGCACGGTGGCAACATCCTTGATAATGAGTAGAAACTCTTGTGAAGAGAATTCAACTCATGGTTGGTGCCATCATCAGACTTTCACTTGCTTTATGCTAGTCATCATTTATTGTATACATGTGAGTACAGGAGAGGAACCTGTTTTATCTTTTGCTGCCATTCTTTTGTTCAGTCTGTCATTTCAAATTCTTCATTTCATGTTGTCTTTTTTTGTTTGTTTTTGTTCTTCATCTCCCTTCTTTTCGTGTCTTGTTCCTCTTCATTTTGTTTGCAATGACTAGTCTATGCTGACTATGACCCATATGCTGTGGCAGGCGTTTGTAATGACCACGGCAAGACATACGCGCTCTACGCCATCACTGTACACCGGCGCAGCCTGAACACTGAGGAGATGTGGAAAACCTATCGGCGCTATAGTGACTTCCATGACTTCCACATGAGGATCACTGAGCAGGTAAGAAGCTTTGTAAAGCCTGTGGTCTTTACACTGTTTCTTGGTTCAGCTTCGATTCCACATTTCTCTAAGGATGGTCATATTGAATAAAGGCACTGATAATTTATATCATTGGTATAACTGATGGCATGATTTTGAGCAGTGAGCCAGTAAATGAGAAGTGGAAACTTGAGCCAGTCTAACAACGGAATACTACTGATACTTCAGAATAGGAAAGTTAAATGGATGTATATTTCCAATCTGAGAGGAAAAACAAAAAAACAATGGAGTACAAGGATGGGAGGGGGACCCTATGCTCTGAGAGGTGGTTTTCTTCTGCAACTAAGGAGACTGCTGTCTCGCATTTGGACACAGTGGTGGCTTTTGGAGACCTAATTCAAAGCTACTGTTACTTTGCGTGGTACTTTCATCCAACAGTGGTGCTAAAACCTGGATCCTTGGCTTAAATTATCTTAAACCACAGTCTAAAAAATGGAACCTGACATTAACCAAATACTGCTTTAAATTCTTATTAAATTTAATCTTGTTTTGTAGAAGTAACTATAAAGATCTTTACATTTAAATGAGAAGAAAGTGTTTCTCTTTTGTATTTTTTTTTATAAGCTAGTTTTTCTTAACTTAGAAAACACAATACCAGGTGAGATGGAATAGGTAACCTGTAGAGCTTATTTTTACTCATGAAAGTCTTTGATTGATTCAAAATTTTCATTATATAAGTAGTGCCAGGCCAGTAAAGTAAAGATAACATGTAATTGGATTTAAGATGCCACTGTACTAGAGAAGCCAGAAAATACCTTTTTTCATGTAATATATTCAGAAAAATATAGTTGATATATGATAATCTCATTAAAATATTCTACAGATAGAGTAAAATAGACTAATAGCTTTAAGTGATTAAAACAATAGGTGTTGATTAAAGTGATTAAAACAATAGGTCTTTGCCTCAGTAGCAGCACTATTTTGAATGACATAAGTGATTGGTTTTGGACATGTCTTTTCATTTCTATATTTTTGTTAATAGATCTTTTCTTTATGTTTAGCTTGGTTTGTTGTTAAGTTTTCAGCTTACATGGGAGGGAAACTACTTACTGTTTATTAGATTGTGTCTGAAAGCATACAGTTCATATAGCTCTGCTTTTATGCACAAAACCACTCAGAAGTGCTTAACCGTTATTGATGTCCAAGAATAGTTTCACTTAGTAAAAATTTATGGGAATTTGGTTTTATAGGACATTTTCTCTGTAAATATAGTTGCAACTTTTTCTCTTAACACAAATAAATGTTAGCTCTAAGTAGTGCTTAAAAGTGAAATGATTTTAAAATTGTTTGTATTTTATTTAATTTAGTGAGCAATGCTTTTTTTGAATCTAAATAGTGAAAAAGATCATTTATTTTCTTTACAGAGCTTAATGATTAGTCTTACATTTGTGAAGAAGATTGATAAACAATGAGTTAAGAATTTAATGTTACATGCATTTACAAATGGCCTCAACTGCCCATTCAGTTATTTGAAAAACATTAAGTTTTTCTCATGGGCCTCACTCCTCTCAGTTTTAGAAAAATAGCAGTGAACCAGATAAGCAGTTTCTTGACTCTAGAGGTATAAATTCCTGTAGATATAGCATGTTTCTGTTTTCCCTAGTAAAATCTGCATGAGTGTGTAAACACACTGATATCAATGATGATGTTATTCATTATACAAATGGAGAGGGACATTTATGTGTTTGAGTATTAACACATTTTGAATTTTTCTTAATTTCAAACTACTTCATCATATCTTAGTGGCTTATTAAAAACCTAACCTTATGTATTTAATGTTGAAAGGTAAAATCTTTGAGCTTAGAGTGTCTACGCTTTATATTTAGTATGAGTTCTTTTTAAAGGATATTCTGATCTAATATGTGTAAGGTCTTTTTTTGTAAATTTTTCTTTGTCGCATTTAAAATATTTCTTTATATGTGATAGGTTACATAAAATGTATTACCTTCTCTCAGGACAGTATTTTAGAAAACTGATGTTCCAAGCAGATAATGTTAAAATTATTTTGTTTTTAAAAACCTAGACTTTGTGTTTTGTGATGTTAAATTATTGTCTGTTAATACTTTAGAGTTTATGGAAGTAATTCTTATTTTAATGAGTACTGTCATTTTGTTTATATAATACTAGAGACTGGGTAAATCACACAACAGAAATTATTTTTTAAAACTCCAAATGCTCTGAGTCTAAGATCTAGCTGTTAGAAGGTTTGGCTTCTCAGGCCAGGACACAGGCCTCTTTCCTGTGTGTGCATACCTGGTGTGTGCTGGGACGCCAGCAGAGTCATGTTGGTGTACAGCCTACCTCAGAAACCTTGGGTTAACTTCATTACCTCATTAAGTACCCTGTCTTATCATATGTGGTTACACTATGAGGTACTAGAGGTAAGGTCTCTCAGTGCAGCATAGGATGTTCACTTCCACAAACTGTCATTTTTTAAAAGGCTTTTTGATACACCAGAAACTCTGTTTTACATATTGTACCAAATGAAGACTTGTTTCTTCCTGCTTAATGTATAACCAAATACCGGAGTTATCACTACAACAGAGTGCTTTCCACATATTGCCTCTATTCAACTTTTTCTTCTTGATAATGATCGAAGCAAAATTATTATTTCACATATATAATAAGCAATGGATTTGTTCTTGTTTTGCTCTGAACAACCATTAGATTTCTCACTGCATTTAATTGAATCTTCCAGTTTGGGATGGGAATATTCTGAACCTCCTTTTCTCTCTTTCTCTCTCTTAATGTCTGGAACAGGAATTGGGTTTCTCCATAGAGATGATGTATTTTAAATGAAGGATGGTTTAAAAACTGCTTCCTTTAGTGTACGTAATATGGAAAGTGGGAGGAGACTGCCTAACGTTTCAGGTACTGGCTGTACCAGGTCATGGATAGGTAAATGCCTTCTCTTAGGCTATTTAAACAACCATTATAGCAACAGCCTGTGCTTGAGAAGGTGTTATAGATTACTGTCATGGTTGCACATAAACGTTAGGTCTGTAAAGGCTGGACTGCCATATTGCTTTGTGTTTGTTACATAAAAAGAGAGTAAGATTAGAGACCTTGTGGGACCCTTTTGAAGAGAAGGCAGAAGAGTGTAAGAGCCAGTTTGGGTGGAGAGCAAAACCCTCTGAATCAATTGAGCAGAGCTCATAGGACCTCACAGACACGGAAGTAGCAACCCTAGGGCCTATATGGGTCTGCAGCAGGACCTCCATGTATATGTAATGTATTTCAGTTTATGGAACTTCTTAAGTGTGTGAGCAAGTGGGTCTCTGATTCTTGTGCCTACTCGTGGGGTTCTTTTTCTTCTGTTGGTTTGCCTTGTCTAAATTCCATATGATGGCTTTTGTTTTATCTTGTTATATTTTATTTTGTTATGTTTGGTTCTTATCTCTTAAAAGAATATTCTTTTTTAATGAGAAGCAGAAAGAGAGTGAATCTGGACACAAAGGGAGGGTGGGGAGGAAGTGGGAACAGTTAAGGAAGGCAAAACTGTCATCAGTATATATTGTATGACAAAATAATCAATTTTTAATAAAATTTAAAAATAAACATAAAAAAAAGAAATAACATGATAATGACTCTGAGATCTTTTTCATAGTTTAATTTATGGACTTACTTTCCATATAATGATGAGGAAAGATTATTAAAGTTTATTATAAGTGTATATAGAGTTGTAATATGGTTGCTGCCTATACTTAGTAATTTGTCTTTTCTGCTTTTTAAAGACATGTATTACAGTGATTATTTCAGTCATTAATATTAAAATAGTTTATTAGATTTTTATAAAGCCATAATATCATAACTTTGAATAAAATTTTAATTTCTTAATATTCTCTCCATGAGTCAGATGGTTGCTAAGAAAATTATTACTGCTTTACTATGAAATCTTGACTAATCTGGAAGTTAGAGCACCAAAGTGAACTTTATATGGCTGGATGCCCATTTTATTCTCCATTGGCAATTCTTTATGATGAAGCAGGATAACAATGGTTTGGGCTTTGGGGACAATATGTTTGTGATGTTTTGCTTACTGTAAGAAAATATAGTCCTAAGTTATCTGAAGGTACTTTTGACACTGAAATTGTTACAAGAAAATTATTTCTCTTAAAAAGAGAACTGTTGAATATATTTTGTCTTATAGTTTGAAAATCTGTCAAGCATATTGAAGCTTCCCGGTAAAAAGACTTTTAACAATATGGATAGAGATTTTTTAGAAAAGAGAAAAAAGGATTTAAATGCCTATTTGCAGGTAAGGCAATTTTACTGTTTCCCGTGGGTTTCATATGCTGTAGTGCACATGTAAAGTAGATGTTTGTCTTGAGCTGTGTTTGGTGCAGCATGTGTGTGACATGCCTGTGGCCCTTGGCCCCGTCTCCAGCGTTATTAGCAGTAAGAACAAAACAATTCAGTATTGTGATGTGTCGAATGTGACATGAGTCTTTTTAATAGTTTATTGTTGTATTTAGTGATATGCTGAGACATTACACCTTGAATTCTCCATATTTAGATGGATGTGTAACACATTTTGTATGTCATGTAACTACACATATCAAATGGTATACCCAACAGTTAAATGTTTTCAGTTCAATACATAGTAGCTTTTCAGGTAGCCACAAAAACTAGTACATTTTTGTTCACAGAGTAGTTCAAGAGAGGAATAGAGCTGAAGATAGTTCCTAGGTCCATCATCTTGGTCATGAAAATTCCTCATAGGAAATAACAAAACATATTTTACAAGTTCCATATTGTGTAGACAGATATAATGCTCAGGGATACGTTCTATACCTGAACACCCAGAATCCAAGTAGAGTAATGAACCTTTTCAGTTTATCCTAGCTAGTGGTTTGTAATGATTGTGCATGTCTGAGAAAGGCATCACCCAGTGATATTGTTCCATTATTATTTATTATTATTATTTATTTATTTATTATTCCATCCATCTTCCTTCCTTCCTTCCTTCTTTCCTTCCTTCCTCCCTCCCTCCCTCCCTCCCTCCTTCCCTTCCTCCCTCCCTCCCTTCCTTCTTCCCCCTCTCCTTCCTTTCTTTCTAACACGCAATAGATTTGTATAGATATAGTAGAGACTTTGTGGTCGTAAACCTACATATTTACTATATGACTTTTTTAGAAACAGATTTAGAAAGCTTCTCCCTTAGAATTTAGTGAAATTTGAAAGCTAATGTACTAGATATTTTGCCTAGAAGATTTTTTTTCTTCTCTTAAATAGTCACAGCTGCTTCTGGCTTTGTTTATAACTGTAATTCTATTTCCCTGTTACTGTATACTGAAAGGACAGGAAGAGAAGGAAGAAAGGGCTGTCATTTAACTTCATTTTTTTTTCCCAGTTTGAAGCTGAATGCATGAATACTGTATTTATAAAACTTGTTAGATATTTTGCTTTAAATATATTGAATTTTAGTTCCATTAAAATCCCTATCAGTAGTCGGGCCCAGCTGCACACGCCTATAATTCCAGCACTCTGGGAGGCAGAAGCAGACAGATCTCTGTGAGTTCCAGGCTAGCCTGATCTACAAAGTAAGTCTTGGACAGCCAAGGCTACATAGAGAAAGCCTGTCTCAAAAAAAACAAAAGCAAAGGAAACAAAATCAGTTAATGTTTATACACTTGATAAAATTACTTTTCCCAAATATGGTACTATAATTCTATTTTTAAAGGTGACTGGCTCTATTGTATTCTTTGCTCATGAACACAGTATGATAAAACTTGTGGCATAGAAGGAACAAAGCTAGATTATTAAGTTCACTAGCATTTGTGAAAGCAGTATTTTTTTGTACTTTTTTTGTAACACTTGAAAGTTTTTGTTTATATCCCAAAATTCTATTTATATTAACGTTAAACTTTAGCATTATTATACAACAGTTTCGAAATGTGGATAAGCTGTGGAGCCAGAAAATAGAATAAAGTTGAAGTATTTTATGTTCTTAACTTTTTATAAAGTGAAACTATATCTCACCATCTGAAGATGCCTCCTTTTCCCTGTTAGTTACTCTTAGCTCCCGAAATGATGAAAGCATCCCCGGCATTGGCTCATTGTGTGTATGATTTCCTTGAGAACAAAGCCTACAGTAAAGGGAAAGGTGATTTCGCTCGCAAGGTAAACACACTATTAAATTTCCTTTTAAGATCTTTCATGCTTCCTTTTTTGTTTTTCTTTTCACTAAACTGTGTAGCCCAGGCTGGCCTTGAACTCATGATCCTCCTGCCTCTGCCTCCTTCAGCAAATCCTACAGGTGTGCACCACCACAACTGGCCAGGCTTCTTTTTTAATAAAAGAAAAATACAGATTTACACATATTTTAAAATGATATGTGAAGTGTGTCTTGGCAGGTTGGCTTCTGTCCGTTCACTGTTGCTTGGAGTATCTATTAATCCCAAAGATGCAAAGATGATGACCCGAGTCATCATGGCCAAATTAATTAAAGTGCACTTAAGTTAGTTATAAAGGCCTCCTGAAACAAAGATGTGGCTGCGAGCTAGTCACAAAGTAGTCATAAAAGTAGGTAGCTGTAACAACATGTTGTCATAACAACCTTCTGAAACAAAGGTAGGGTGGCAAGGTTGTTACAATTTTTTGAACCAAAGACATGGTTGTCATTTCCTGGAGCAGGCAGTACAGAACCATTTGTGGTTAACATTTCCCAATCCTTGAGAAATAGATTCAATCACAAACAGGAATGAACCAAGTTTGTCTTTAGTGTAAGATGCCTTTAAAGCCCAAGATGGAGGCAAGCTGGTTCATCATCTCTTCTACACAAGCTCTTATTATGATTTAGTGGAGCTTGAAAGAAAGAAAAGCAAGCGAACAAACTTTTAACAAGCAAACAAATTTTTAAAGTAGTCCACTAAGAAGGTTTGCCTAAAATGAGTTATAAGTTCTTTTTTATTTTGAGTAGGAAATGTATTTTTACTGGGAGGAAATACCTTTTAGTGAATTGAATATGAGAAAAATGTTAAATAGGATGTGTTCTGAAAGTATTTTTACCTCCTGAGTGAAATGTTTGTTATTTAAAGTTTTTTAGTTGATTTAAGATACGGTATAAACTTGGGCTTGGAACAAAAGCCTTGTAAACAGGCCTTTAGAGTCCTGGTTCCTTCACTGCTAGGACCATCATTGTATTATTTTTCATTGTGTTACTTTAATTTTCTCAAGAAATCAAGATTTTACCTTTTATTTTAAGCCACTGCGTAAATCAAGTAAGATCTTATTTTGTGTTGAAACATATCCCACACATAACTAATAAATGTTTGCTGGTAATAATAAGTGCAGAAGCAGGATTTAAGAAGGTGTTTAGTAACCCTTTATAACTTTTTAGAAATCTTAGATGCATTCAGAAAGGCAAAGAGGATAGACATCAGAAGAAGGAGAAAACAGGGAACAGGAACCTGCCACAGAGGGCCACTGAAAGGCTCTAACCTGCTGGGTATCAAAGCAGATGCTGAGACTTATGGCCAACCTTTGGGCAGAGTGCAGGGAAAGAAGGGGGAGATAGACCTGGAGGGGACAGGAGCTCCACAAGGAGAGCAACAGATCCAAAAAATCTGGGCACAGGGGTCTTTTCTGAGATTGATACTCTAGCCAAGGACCATTGATGGTGATAACCTAGAACCCCTGTACAGATGGCAGTTCAGTGTCCAAGTGGGTTCTATAGTGATGGGAACAGGGACTGTCTCTGACATGAACTGATTGGCCTGCTCTTTGATCACCTCCCCCTGAGGGAAGAACAGCCTTACCAGGCCACAGAGGAGGACAGTGCAGCCAGTACTGATGAGACCTAACAGACTAGGATTAGAAGGAAGGAGAGGAGGACCTCCACTATCAGTGGACTTGTGGAGGCCATGTGTGCAAGTGCATATTTTAATACTTTATTTTCAGAGTGATTATATGTCCAATCTTAAGTGTCAATAGAGATGTATTCTAGTTTTCTATCTTGAAGGTATTTTTTTTTCCTGTTTGGTGATTACATTAATTCTAACTAAATAATTGATAACAATTTCTTTTAGATAAAGAAACTTTATATTAAATATATACTCTCATTTTAAATAATCACACGATCACACATATTAGTTGCCTATTATATTTTTAATTACTAATAAAGTCTAAAGATCCTTCTAAGTAATCATTGAATAATCTACAAACTTTTATGAAAGGCTTTTCACAGCTGGAGAAATGTCTTAGAAACTCTTGATTTTCTCTTTCTTTTCAAAAAATCTGCAGAACAATTAATCCATAGACAGAATAAGTGACAAGCAGCCTTTCTTTCTGTTTGAAGTAACTTTTTATTTACTCTTATATTGTGTAAAGTAATTTTTAGCCATAGCTAGACGTATAAATATCCATTAAAATTCCTTTTGTATGTTACATTACTAGAACAGAAAAATGAGCAGAGCTGGCAATGTAAAGAATAGACAGCACCTGTGTAAATGATGCTGAGGGTGTGCTTCACTGGCCCTCTGTGGCTTGCTTCTGTGCCTCATAATTTTAAAGCTTGTTTCTTTCTTGTCTGTTTTCAGATCATTTCAGAACACTTTCTAGCTGTTTGTAAATCCTGTATCTGTAGAAGAAATCATAGAGTGGACTTTTATCCTTGTGAAGTTCTCTTTAGTGGATATTATGTTATATTAGAGAGTTACAAGTTTCCCTTTAATTGTACGTTTAAATGTGGTAGATATTCTCATAAGGCTTTTTTTTTTTAGAATTCTGTATGTCCATCTGGATGTAGTGGTACAAGCCTTTAATCCCAGCACCCAAGAGGCAGAGGCAGACTGATCTCTGAGTTCCAAGCCAACCTGGTCTACAGAGAGAGAGAGATCCAGGACGGCCAGGGCTACACAGAAAACCTTTGTCTTGAAAAACAAAACAAGCAACAACATGAATTCTGCTTGTGTGTCCTTGACTAAGATTGACTAGTTCATTAGGTATATTGGCTATATACCTGATATGTACCAGTGACTGTTTGCTGCTTTTCTGTTACTGTGGTAACCACCATAGCCAAGACAACTTTTACATGAAAGAGTTTTGGGGGGCATATGGTTCAGAGATCTGTAGTCCACGGTTTGAGAGCAAAAACGTGGCATCAGGAGCTGAGAGCTTTATCTTGATCTGCAAGTAGGAGGCATATAGCACACTGAATTTTGCAACTCCTTTTAAATACCAAAACCTGTCCCAGTGACACACCTTCAACAAGTTCACAGTTGCTAATCCTTTCCAAACAGTTTCAGCAACTGGGGCCAAGTGTTCAAGAACGTGGCCCTTTCTCACTTCAACCACTGCATCCCGCTGTATGGCCCCAGAGGCTTGTGGCTGTATAGGAGGGAAAATGGGTTTAGTCTGACTTAGAAGTACCCCGAGTCTTTCATAGTCTCGACACAAAGTCCAAAGTCTCCTCTGAGTCTCAAGGCAATCTCTTAACTGTAACCCTCTATAAAAATCAAAAAGCAAATAACATACTTCCAACATACAGTTTGACAGAACATATACCTTACCATTCCAAAAGGAAGGATTGGGGGCGTAGTGAGGAAGTACTGGATCTCAGCAACACCAACATCCAGAAGGGAAACTGCACTTGTAGCTGTAGTTCCGTGTCTGATGTCCAAAGGCTTAGATGGCTCCACCCTTGTGGCTTTGCTCACTAAAAATTACAACAAACTTCTCTCTCTTGGTAAGCCCCACTCTGTATGTAGCTTTTGGCAGATGCCTCATGCTCTGGCAAACTGCCTCACTTTGGATTACTTTGGATTATGGTAGAAGTAAACAATAGTTAATTCTGTTTGTATCAAGTTTTGTTTGGGAAGGTATTCAGAATTTATTCAATACATGGACAGTGAAGGCTATCCTTATCCCAATAGTTTCTTTCTCAGTCAAATTTTAAAATCATCCATGTATGTATTTTTAAGGTATACCATGTCAACAGTTGTAGTTTTTTAAGGCAATAGCATATTACTGACTGGAAAGTCATTTTATATTTCTATGGTTGCACTCTATATTTTCTTAGGTTTCTGAGTTATGTAACTGGTCTGAGTATAACTTCTTTTTCACTTTAGATGGACACTTTTGTAAATCCACTTCGCAACTCTATGAGGAATGTTTCAAATGCAGTCAAATCCCTTCCTGATAGCCTGGCAGAAGGAGTCACAAAAATGTCTGACAACGTTGGCAGAATGTCCGAGAGGTTAGGTCAAGACATAAAGCAGTCATTTTTTAAGGTAAAAAGATATTTCCAGTGGTTTCTGAAGCATACTTTTTATGTCAACTAAGATGTATTGATCTTCTTCCCAAAATCTCCAGACATACAAAAAAAAAAAAAAAAAAAA